TTCATGCCCTCAAACAGCTAGGAAGAATTCTACCTGCTGTAAATTCATTTTTACTTTTACTGTTGTTTGGTCTCTGACTGAAAGGGGCTTCAAGAATCATCTAGTTCAGAAACAGGCAAACTATGATCCACTGGCCAAATCCAGCCTGCTCCATTTTTGTGTGGCCCATGAGTTTTTACATTTTTTTAATGGTTGAAGGCAAAAATCAAAAGAATAATATTCTGTGACACTTTAAAATTATTTGAAATTCAAATTTCAGTGAATTTCAGTATCTGTAATAAAGTTTTATTGGAATACAGCTGCACTCTTTTTTTTTTTTTACTTTTTGTCCATGACTACTTTTATGCTTCAGTGAGAGTTCAGGAGTTACAACAGAGATAGTATGTGGCACTCTTATCACTTTGTACTGCTGCCCATGGCACTACAGAACTTGACAGTGTTTTAAGAGTGTTATGCATATCACTATAGTGTGACATTTAATTTTTTTTAATTACCAGTGCATATACATCATTGTCAAAAGAAGAAAAGAGAAAAAACTGCCTTATAATTTTTTGAGCTTAGGGCCAAGATTGAAGTTTTTCAGAATGAAAAGAATTGTCCTCAGTCAATATTACCAAACACTGAATGGCTTTGGAAATTAGTTTTTGCTTCAGATCTGATGTGTTTCTTAATGAATTCAACCTAAAATTACAAGGCAAAACTTTTACTGTGGTAAAGTCAATTCAACAACTAAACATTGTTTGAATCACAAGCACTGTCAGGCTGTTTTATATACTTCCCATGCTGTCAAAAGGTAAAACGAGAAGTGATATCTTCATTCTCACACAATAGCAGTGGATATATTTTGAGCATAAACTGCATTTCCAGCAGTGTTTTTCAGACCTTAATGCAGGTGCAAAAGACATTTCCATATTTCAGAATCCGTTGAACGGTGCAGTTGAGGAGATTCCACCAATCTTCAGTTGGAAGTGATTTATCTGTAACATAATGACATACTAAAAGACAAATATCACGAGAAGAATCTAATAGAATTCTTTCTATACATGCCTTCCAAGAGATGAATATGCTCAGTTAAAATCATGGATTGATAACGATATTAGCAGTACCTATCTGTGTGAAAAAGACATTTTTATAAATATAATATTTTATTCTCCCCTATTACATGTTAAAACAATTTTTAACTTTTTTTTTAAAGTTTTGCGTTCCAAATTCTGTCTTTCTCTCTCCCCCTCCCCATGCAGTCAGACAGAGGTAATACATGTGCAATCATGTAAAACATTTCCATATTGGTCATTTTGTACAAGAAGACTCAAATAGAATTTTTTTTTTTGGCTAGGCACTGGGGTTAAGTGACTTGCCCAAGGTCACACAGCTAGTACGTGTTATGTGTCTGAGGCCGAATTTGAACTCAGGTCCTCCTGAATCCAGGGCCGGTGCTCTGTCCACTGTACCACCTAGCTGCTCCTCAAATAGAATTTTTAAAAAGAAAGGGAAAAATAGCATGCTTCAGTCTGTATTCAGACAATATCAGTTCTTTCTCTGGAGGTGGATAGTATGCTTCATCATTAGTCCTTTGGGATTGTCTTAGATCATTGTTTTGCTGAGAATAGCTAAGTCATTCACAGTTCTTTATCATACAATATTGCTTGTTACTGTGTACAACAGTCTCCTGGTTCTGCTTACCTCGCTTTGTATTAGTTCTTATAAGTCTTGCCAGGTTTTTCTTATATCTTATTTCTTGTTTTTGTGTTTTTTGCCTTTTTTTTTTTTTGGCTAGGCAGTGGGGTTAAGTGACTTGCCCAGGGTCACACAGCTAGTGAGTGTTTTATGTCTGAGGCTGGATTTGAACTCGGGGTCTTCGTGACTCTAGGGCCAATGCTGTATCCACTGTATCCATTTAAGCTGCCCCTTAAATCTTATTTCTTATAGCACAATAATATTCCATTACAGTTATATACCACAGCTTGTTTAGTCATTCCTCAATTGATGGGCATCACTTTGATTTCCAATTCTTAGCCACCACAAAAAACTGGTATAAATATTTTTGCACAAATAGTTCCTTCCCCCCCCCTTTTTTTTTATGTCTTTGGGACACAGAACTAGCAGTGGTATTGCTGGATCAAAGGGTATGCACGGTTTTATAGCCTTTTGGACATAGTTCCAACTTGCTGTCCAGAATTGTTGGACCAGTTCACAACTCCACCAACAATGCATTAGTGTCCTGGTGTGGAAAGATGTTTTCAAAGATGAAACCCTTAAAATCTCATTAAAGATTAGCATTAATAGATGTACATTTGCAATCAATTTTGATGATAGGGAATGATAAATTTGAACCCCTATCAAGTGAAATGTTTTATCCCCCAGGAAAGAATTTTGTTCTTATTTGTAGACCTGTATTTAAAAAAAAAACAACTTGTACTGTTGTTAATTATTTTATTTTGAATTTCATCAAAAAATTTGTGGACATTTATTTTCTCTTTTGTTATATAAGTACTTACATAATATCCTCGATTGTTGCCTCTTGATCTGCAAAGCTTAAAATATCTGGCCCTTTTTTACGGCAAAAGTTTGCTGGCCCCTGATCTAATTCAACCTTTACCTGAAGCATGAATCATCAAGGGCAAGATTATTAGATGCAGCCAGGGTCTACTTAAGACAATTAGGCATCTCAAAGCATTGGGCTTGAAGCCAGAAAGACTGGGACGCTTACTAGCTTTGTGAATTATCTTAATAGCTGTGTGTCATTTAATTTCTGTTTGTCCCAGTTTCACCAGCTGTAAAATGGGAATGAGAATTCAGATAACATTTGTGAAGCCCTTATCACAGTACCTGGCACATAATAGCACTTAATAAATGCTTATTTTCTTTCTTCTCTAATTTCACTGCAATAGGGAGCTCCCAAGTGAGAAAATTACCTTTGCCCTTAACTGGTTGGCAACTTATCTACAGTTTAGAATCTTAGAGAGTTGCCCAAAGCATCGAGAGGTTAAATAACTTTGTCCAGTGATACACAGGTAGAGTGTCAGAGACTATCTACCTGGTTCTCTGTTCCCTGCGCCATAGTGCTTCTCATGTTTTAGTAAGCATTTATTGATGAGGCATGCAGAATGGAATGACAGATTTCTTGCCCTTAATTAAGGAGTTTTTTGCTTAGACAGAAAGATGAGAGAGGCACCCTGGCATGGTCATTTCAAGAGGTCAGGGTTTAAATCCCGCTTCAGTTGCTTACAGGCTTTGTGATTCTGTCCGTAAATTTAGGGATGGAGCTTAAAATGCTGCATGACACAGTGGAAAGAGAACTGGATTTCCAGTCAAAAGGATCTGCATTTGATTCCTTGCCCAAGTCACTTCACCACTTGAGGGCTCAGTTTCCTTATTCATAAAATGAGAAGGTTGGACTACCTTTAAATCCCTTCTGGACCTAAATCTGTATTCTAATGCAACCCTTTCAACTTATAGATTAGGAAACTGCGGCTTTGAGAAGTTTGACCATTTATAAGCTGGAGATATCAGTATCAACTACCTTATATCAATAATTAGTGTGGCATTAATTCTGGTTTTATAATAAAATAATACATGGCGCTTTTAATTGATCAAAGCCTTTTCCTGTTTGTGAACTAGCTGCCATGACTTCTGTGTAAGATAGATGACAGCCCAGAGGATAGGTGACTTGTTAAACACCAAATGCAGTGACCTAAAGCTTTTTTAACAAGACCACAGTGCTTGGAACTCAAAGAAGCATGCGATCTCAGGGAGGCCCCTCAAACATGGCTCATTCTCTGGGTTTTCATCCTGGTAGCTTAAAGAGGATGGCTTTCTTTATCCAGAGGGATGTTTAGAACACATATGGATAGGATGGGCCTCTTCTAGAGGAAGTAGCTGGAATAAGCATCCTACTTGATGGTTTGTACTGGTTCTTTCTATAGGAAGCACCCCCTCCACAGCCAGATTCTGAGAAATACTAGTTAGTGGGCAGAGGATTTCCAAATGCTGATGCTCCCCTGTATCTTTCCTCTCCCAGAATCTCAGTGACACATTAGATTAAGGTTTCTTAAACCTGGGATCCATGAACTTTGTTTTTAATATTTTCATAACTATTTCTGTGTAATTGGCTCCCTTCATAAGCTTACATATTTGATTTTATGCTTTTAAAAACATTCTGAGAGGGAATTCATAGGCTTCATCACACTCCCCAAGGTGTTCATGACACCAAAAGCTTAAGAGCTTTTGTTTTAGATGATGGTAAAGCCCAGATGGTAAAACAAAAAATGCTATTTGGTTTACTTCAATCTATTCATAGATTTTTTACCAGCAAATAATACCTGTAGTCTCTGCCTAAAAGGGTGGTTGGGAGGCCCAAATGAAAAAAATGTATATAAAAGGCTTTACAAATTTTAAAGTGCTATATAAATATAGGTTGTTGTTATTATTGATGAAGAACAATCAAACCAGTCAATTGCAGCTGTTGGCATCACCAGGTGGGGCTGATTCCACAGATCAGTAAAGGAGAGCTAGAAAGAAAGCTCCTTTCTGAGGTGTTGGATTTGATACAGATCTAGAAACCTCAACTCATTACTATTGACTCACTCCTGCTCTTCACCTCCATTATATCTGCCCCTTGATTTGATTTGATTGTGGTGAGATAGGACAATTAGGATGTTAGTAAAGGACAGGTTTTCCTGTCTTTTGAAGTCAGACCTGGGGAAAATGTGGCAGAAACTGGAGCAAGGAAAGAGATAACATAAGAAAAATCACTTCTCTAGGGGTAAGATCCCTTGGACACTGGGGAAATAAAAGAGGTTTAGGTTTCTGGATCTTTGGAAATGTCAGCACAATATAACCCTATACTCTCAGATTTTTTTTATTGGGATGGATTAGGGGTGGGATAGAAGAGTAAGAGGGTAGCCTAGCTATCTCCTCTTAAACTAAGAGACAGTCTGCCTTTTTCCTCTACCTGTCTTTCATGAGTATTAAGTTTTTGTACCTGTTTTCTCTTATAGGCAGCAGCCAGGTGACTCCATTTGGTGCCTCTCCTCTTGCTCCTGCCGGCCAGCCAAGTGCCCTTTCAGATATGAGCAATGTCTTGGGAACTGGGATGTCAGCTGGTGGTGTTCCTAGCAGGTAGGTTGAGATTGTGGGTTCCTCAGCCATGAGAAAGAAAAGCAAAAAGCCTAGACTTGGTTTTTTTTTGTCTTGATACTTCCTGTCCCATGTCCCAAAGCTTTTTCCTTTTTTCTTCTCAGTGCCTTCTGTTTAATACCTTTGAAGACAGAGGAGCAGGATTTGCTTTTCCAATACCAATACGAATAATGCTTATAAGGCTCATCATAGTGGAGGATATTTCTTTGGTACTAGTGATGCAATTTCTCTCTTTCTCTCACAGAGCCTTTGGGACTGTTGGCCATGTCTCTGGACTCCACCCTGCTGCTTCTGGCAGTAATAGTAGCAGCAGCAGCAGCAGCAGCACTGGACTTGGATTTGGGGGTGAGTTCCACTTGTAAAGAGCTAGGGTAATGTGGAAACATTTTATATATATAAAAGACTAACTCTTTCTTCCTATATTCCCCCAACATTTAGCTTTCACCAACCCTTTCATCACACCGGCTCCTCACCCACAGTTGCCTTCCACTAACCCATTCCAAACCAATGGCGTGGCTTCAGGTAAGCCTTCCTTTCTTTGTATTCTATCTCCTCCAGACTACCAAACATCTTTTCAGGAAGTCTTTTTTTGTACCCCTTTTTCATACGGTTATTTCTGTTCTTGTTCCCATCTTGGGGCTCCCCTAATATATTAATTCCTTAAACCTTCTCAGCCAGGGCCATAGCCTTTATGTTCTCCCATTGTACTCCCCTCTTCTGACTTTCCCAACCCCAGTGGTCTTAGTCCTCCCACCCCCAAATTCCCAAAGAAATTAAAGAGCCCTTAAAAACCTAGGTAGAAGGCTATAACTACATACAACACGAATACAGCACTTTTTTTGGGAACCCTGAGTCCCAGCTCCTCTGCCTTTGAACATTGGTGACAATGGACCCAGGGTGGATCTGGAAGCAGAAGATTTCAGAGTTATATTCAGGACAGTTCAGTGAGTTGATTTTTGATCTGGAGAAGCCTATTTCTCTCATTAGGTGTAGTCTTGATAAAATTGCCCTAAATCCTGTCTTTCTCAGTTCCAGTTCATCTGCTTTGTTTCCACAGGGCTTGGTTTGGGGATGAACACTGTGGTTCCTAGCTTCTCTTCTGCACCGACCCCAGGTGGCTTCCCAGGAACTTTCTCTCCTAATCTCTTCCCTCCACAAACCTTGCTGGTTCAGCAGCAGAATGGTAAAGATTCTTCTTCTTTCTGTTCGGCCGCTGAATTTGAGGGAACGATTCATTTTCCTGGATAGGCATAGAGGAGTAAAGAGGGGATGAAACCTGTCTGTCCTCAAGTGAGAGACTCTAGGAATACACATCCCTCAATCTTGGGAGTGCCTTTTCCCCTCCTCCCCCAATCCTTGCTGAGAATGTGGAATTGTGCATACTATCAGGGAAATTGAGAAAGATTGTCCAAGTTCATATCACCCTCCCTTCATTTGTTTGGTTAAGTTCTGATGCTGCTGTTCATTGCAGCTAAATTGTGTTATGTTTTGTTTTGTTTTGCTTTGTTTTGTCTTTCAGGCTCTGGCTTTGTGGGATTAGGAGCAGCCAAACTGGGGCAAAGGCCTGTGAACCATCCTGCGGGGATCTCTACCAACCCCTTCATGGTAAGGAAAGAAGAGACTGAGCCTTGAAGAAATCTAGAGGACATGGAGAGACCTTTTACTCATGTGGGTGTGCTGGGGATAGGTGCCTGTGCTAGCAGACATAATTAGGAGTGAATCCCCCTGGCTGTGTTGTGTTTGCTGCTCTCTAGGTCGGGTCAGATTCAAGGCCCTCTATTCTAGCCCTCTTTTGTGTTTGTCTCTTTGAACCTTTGAACCTCTCTCTTTATATCTTTACATTTCTTTACCCAGCTTCTTCTTGGAACTGTTTGGGGGTGGGGAATGGCACAGGAATCTACCCAATTCCTCTTCCCAAATCTGATTATTCTTTATTTTGTTCTTTTCTCTTTAGACTGGATCCTCATCAAGCCCATTTGCCTCCAAACCTCCTCCTACTAATCCCTTCTTGTAGCACTGTGCCCAGGAGGACAACATCCTTCCTGCTCCCTCTGCCCCAATTATCCCTCTGTTCCCTCGATCCCTGGTGGCCACCTTTGTTTTTTGGCATTACTGTGGTCTCAGCCCAAAATGGGGAATGACTTGCCTTGCTTTAGGTGGTGGGAATCTTGGGGATAATGAAAGTGCTAATGCTTTGCTCTGGGCTTGCAAATAAAACACCAGCCCCTAGGCCAGTAGTCCCCCTCCCAGAGCAGTGAGAACAATGGGAGTGGTTATTAGAGGGGGCTGGCCCAGGTGTGTTTTATTATTCTAAAATTTTTCCTTCTCTTATCTCCCCTCTCCCCCTTACACCTGTGATTCTCCCAGCTCCTAAAGCCTTCTCCTGTGGAGAAAGTTATTATAGATGCAGGCCGATACAAATTTCCTCCTCTAGTGCTCTAGTCTAACTAATTGCTGGGAGGCTGTGGGAAGCTGAACCCACGGCAGGACGTTTCCCCACATGCTAAAGGGCCTCATTCCTGGCTAAAACAGTGGGAAGTATGGCTGCTGAGACCAAGGCATGGGAAGGACAGTTGAATGGCACTGGAGTTGGAGCACCTTCATTCCCTGGCTTCTTTCTGCATTGCTGAGCACTTTAGCAACCTTCCAATCACTTTCCACCTTGTGCCCCCCCCCCAAAAGGCCTTCATCTCTCTTGCACAAACTCCCAACCCAACTACCCCATCTACACATGCAATGATGAAAGGTTCCTATCCTTCATATCAAAGCTGCTACTATCTTTCATTTGTTTGCAAAAGTTTAATCCCTTAGCTTCTTCTCTTCCCCCAAACTCATGTCAGGCACTTTAGTTAACTGTTGGTTTGATGTTTGGATACCAGTGTTTTATAAACACAAAGTTTTCTAATATAGCCTATTCTACATATATGTGTATGTATCCATGCATACATACATGGATACATGCATACATATATACATATATCTATATCTATATCTATATACATAAAATCTACACAGCCATCCTCTTGTGTACTCTGCCCCCAAGAATCACCAGATAACTGCTGATATTCATGGGTAGTAAAGGTATTCCTTATCTACTCTGACCATCATTCCATCATCCATGTTCTGAGATCACTCCCAGCCTTACCTTCTGGACTACCACAGGGGAGAGATTTTTGTGCAGTTGCTGCATTGTTTTTTCACACTTCCTGTTCTGCCCTGACTTTGATTCTTGCACTAAAGGCAGTGTTGGAAAAGAACTTTGGTTTGAAAGAAAAAGAAAAAAAGTTTGTTGTTGCCTGGCTTTAGGGTCCCTTGTTTTCATATACTAGCAAACTTGCCTGATTAGCTTAATTTGGCTTTTTTTTTTCTTTCTTTGTCCAGACAACAGCTTCGTCTATAAACTAACACAGGCCTTTCTGGCAAAGTGACTCCAAAGAGTGGGTTAAGATGGGGGGTAAGACTAGGTAAGGATGTTTCTCTTATACCAAGGACAAGATGGGCAGAAATGAGGATGGCTTTCATTGCCTTAGTGTTAAATTTGCCCATACCTAACCAGACTACCAAAGCATTACCATAATATCCCTGACAGCCACCTCAGGCAAACACAGCTGTTTATATTTTCTAGTCCATTGTGTTATGTCAACAGCTCTGGGGGCTGAGCTGTTTGTATGGGGACATGGATATCTGCTTAGGGTAAACTTTCTCTTCAGAATGAGGCAAAGGGTTATGACCTTGATATTTAGGACAATGTGATAGGGTGAGAGGACTTGCTACTCAGTTTCCCTTCTCTTATTTGTGTGTGTATGTGGGTGTTTAAGCTTCTGTAGCCTTGAGGGTGTGGGAGATTGGTTATCTTTAGTGGATTTGGGGTGTTTTCTGGAAGAATGCCTCCAGCTGTGTGTCATTTATCTAGCCAGGCTCAATCTCACTTCATCCTCATTGTGGAGAAGAATCCATATCTTGATGTTCTCTTAAATTCCTAACTCTTCTCTGTGCCCAGCTTCTGAACATACCTATTAACACTGTTTTTGGTATGGGGAAGATGGGAAGTCTAACTGCTGAAGAACTGTTGTCACTTCCCCCTGGGGCACAGAAGTCATGCTCCCCTTATATCTCTCTGTCCACCCTCTGCTTCCTCCTCACTCCCTCCCCCCTCCTTTTGCAAAGGTCTACCCCACCAGTATAGGCAGTTATGCACGGGAGAGGGAGAAACTCATGTTGGTACTTCTCCCTCAAGTCCAAGTCAGGGAAGCAGAATAAGTACACAGCCAGCTTCCAGAGTCCCTTCCTCAAGCCCAATGAATTTCTCCTTTAGGGAGAAGGTAACCCATAGGAGGACACCTCCTCACAACTAGTTAGTGTTGTTTCCAAAACTCTAATCTCCATATGCTATATCTCCATGTCTCCCATCTTGGCTTTTTTCTCCCTAAATCTTGTCATCATGTATTCTGTACCTTCGCCATTTGTTTTTTGTCTCCACTTACTGTCCCCTTTCACTGGCCTGTTTGAGTGCTTTGAGGTAGGGAGGGAGCCAAGAGCCCGGTTGGCATGCTGTGGTGAGAGCTACACTTTTAGCCTTTTCTTGTTTTCTCATAACTTGCTGCTACTTCCCCCCCCCCCCAATTCTTCAGTTACCAAGGAAAGGCCTCCAAAAATCACTACTGGTTGGAACTTATTTAAAGGGCTAGGGATCTGAGATGCCTTTGTGTGTCATATTCTTTCCCTGGTGCTTGGTGCCCTAGATTCAGTGGCTCCCTCCAACTTTCCCCCAGCATTTACTGAGCCAGCCAACTCTGTTGTCATCTTTTCTCTATTCTGGTCCTAGGACTTACTTTAGCTTTTTGAGGGCAGATAGTCATAGGTGATAGGGCTGAATCAGCCCAAGATCCCGAAGTACAGAAAATAAGGGCACTTTAGGAAAAGTGAGGCCAAGGACCTCAAATACTTCCAGCCAACCTTCTCCATTCCTAGCCTCACTCCTTATCTCTGAGTTCAGTGGGAACAACAGGAATTCTGATCTTTACTCTGTCACTGACCAAGGATGAGAGGGGGTAGCTCTGGGTGTAGAACCTGGAGTCATGAATTGTTCTTTTTTTTTTTTTTAATTTTTAAATTTTGAATTTAACACCAAAAAAAGTATGTCTGTAAGGTTTTTTGCATATGAAACTATGAATCTCTATTCCATACTGCTTGCTTTTTAAAAATGTATATAATAAATTTGCATTACTTTCAAAGCTGTTCTCCTTTGTCTTTGCTTCCTCCTGAATATCCTTCATGCATTTTATTTTATTTTTTCTTTTCTTGCTTTTTAGTGAGGCAGTCGAGTATAAGTAACTTGCCTAGGGGTCACACAGCTAGTAAGTGTCAAGTGTCTGAGGCTAGATTTGAACTCAGGTCCTCCTGACTTGAAGGCTGGAGCTCTATCCACTGCGCCACCCAGCTGCCCCTTGCGTTTTATTTTTTTAAAAAGTTAAAATAACTAATTTATTCTTTGAATATAAGTACACTGAAAGAACATGGAGGATAATCGATGTGGTGTTAGGTGTTCTTCAAGATAAAACATTTCAGCATTTGTTACGTCTTCTAGGAAGAGTAGTCCCATATTTTATTCTGAGCCCATAATGAACCCAAGTATTTATGAAATGCCTGATTAAAAATCATTTTGATTAATCATTTCATCAGTGCTGCCTTGCTTCCCTTCCAAATACAAAAGATTAAGTTAAGATTGTTGTTGGCTTGTTATTGTCTTGAAAGAGTCCATACTTTAACAGCTTAACTCTTGGGCTTCACTAGAACATTTGATTTTTTTCAGTGGTTAAGGCCTCTGGTAAGAGCATAAGCTGAGGAAAGAGTAGAAATCTGAGTGGAAAAGTTGAGATCGGCAACAAACAACTGAGTCTGAACACAAGACCTTATCTTGCTACTGACTGACTGCTGTAAGAGTCTATACTGTTCTGTTCTCTGCCTTTCTTTTTTTTTTTTCCCCAATTACACAGGAAGATAGTTTTCCACATTCATTTTTGTAAAATTTCACCTTCTCTGCATTTTAAAAACATCTCAGTGGCCAAGTTTTCTCCCCCTTTGACCTCATAATTGCATCTCCACCCCTCCCACCCCCTACCCCAACAGAAATAAATATAAATAGGCATAGTCAAGCAAAACAAATCCATATTGTGGCCACATCCAAAAATGTTATGTCTTTCTCCACATCAGCTCTTGTCAGTTTGCCTTTGGAATTTAGGATGTTTAGGTCTCTCAAAGTTGTTTTTCTTTGCAGTGTTGTCCTTATCTGAATTATTATTCTGCTCTCTTCACCTTACAGCAGTTCATACACATTCCCAGGATTCTCCGAAATCTTCATTTCTTATAGCACAGTAATACACCATTCATATGTAACAGCCTGTTTAGCTATTCTCCAGATGATAGACACCCCCTTAGTTTCCAGTTTTTTCCCCTTTCCATAACCAGGGTCCACTCTCCAAAACTGAAGTTTGTTTTGACTGCCACTACTCCCTCTTATAGGGATAGGATAGGATCTTTCCTGCTTAACCCTAACCCCCTTTTCTCTGCCTGTTTGCTGATTGAGTTTTATATATTTGTGTATAAGATCATGAGTGTGTTCAACCTTACTTTATCCAATTTGGTTAAAAGATTCATCTGATGTCTGCATATGCCCACCCCTTCTCCATGTATGTATATTCTGAGGCATCCCAATTATGAGAGTTAGTTCCACTCCCTTTTGCCTCCTTTCTACACTTGTATCCCTTTTATTTTCTCTTTTCTTTTCCCTCGTGCAACCCATAGAACGTAACCAGGCCGCCCCCAAGTTTTCTTCCATTTATCTTGTTTAATTCCCATGAAGGCATTAATGTTCTGAAGGAACACTTGTTTCTTCTCCCATCAGACTGTTAGCACTTCATCATTCTGTAGCCCCTTTAAAATGCTCATATAAATTTACCTTGCTCTTCAAAGTTCCTATTCAACTGTGGTTTTTCATTAAGAATGCCATTAAAGGTCCATTTTTTTCCCCTTTAAGTTTATGCTTAGTTTTTCAGGGTTGAGCGAATTATTCCTCTCTTGCCTCTTGGAAAACTGTATTCTGGGGGCTGCTAGGTGGTGCAGTGGATAGAGCACCGGCCCTGGATTCAGGAGGACCTGAGTTCAAATGCGGCATCAGACACATAATAATACTTATTAGCTGTGTGACCCTGGGCAAGTCACTTTAACCCTATTGCCTAGCCAAAAAAAAAAAAAAAAGGAAAACTGTATTCTAAGAGCTCTCCGAAAGAGAAGCTCCCAAGCCTTATATGACCCTAATCTTGGTTCCCTGGTGCTAGAATTCTTGCTTTTTTTTTTTTGGCTGTTTGCAATTTAATTTGACCTTGGAAGCTCTGGATTTTGATGACATTCTTGGGATTTGTCCTTTTGAGATTCCTTTCAGAAAACAATTGGATTCTTTCAGTTTTCACTTTGCCTTCTGCTTCTAAAGATTTGAGCACTTTTCATTTATCATTGCTTAAAATATAGTGTTCAGGCTTTAAAAAAAAATTTGGTTTTCAAGGATTCCAAAATACCTCTCCTTAACCTGTTTCCTGATCAGCTTTTAAAAAATAAAAATAGATAACTTTTCTCATTATTAAAAGTCTTCTTTTGATTTTGTTTGGATGTTTCTTGTCATTGATTTCTTTTTGGTCTATTCTAATTTTCAGGGATTCCATTACCTGGCTAAAGTTATTTACCACTTTCTGTTCTAAACTCGAGAGAGGTTGAGTGATCTCAGCCTGTGGGCTTGTGGAGCCTGTGCTGCACAACAGAGTCTAGGTGCCTTTGCTCCAAATCCTCCAAGTGCAAAGGTCCATGTTATATGTTTCCAGTCACCCTGGACTTTTCTCATGGGACTGCTCTGCTCTTGCTGCCTCTTGGATACAAAGACTTGCCAGTTGCAGATGGTCTCTGGTTGAGCTGGGAGGCTTCCATCGTATTTAACACTGGCACTAGCTTTTTTGGGCAGATTCCCTTTCCTAAATAAGCCTGTGAACTTCGGATTACTTGGTGCAGTTCTGAGATCAAGTCACCCTATGAGCATCTTGGCTAGAAGTTTGAGTTGTGAGTTCTTTCAACCAGATCACATAAAAATATTTTGAAAATAATCAAGTGATCTACAGTTCTGAGGTATCATTCCCTTCTAGTCATTTACTTGGTTTTCCTGTATTCTGTTTCAGAACCAGAGGTATTACTCCCAGCCATACTTAATCTGCTTTAGCAAATATATCAATGGAGGGGAGAGGTGGTGGGTGTGGGTGGGTGTGTGGGTGTGTCCTCTTCTCTCCTGGACCAATGAAGCACAGAGGAAAAATATTTCAGAAATTATTTATTAGAAGTACTTAACTTCTCTGTCAGGTTCCACTGTGCCTCTGGGGTTAGAAAATGATTTAGTGGGTCAGCAGTTAGTAGTTAGGAACTGTGTCTTGACACCTCCTGGGTTTGATTAAAATTCAAGAAGCCAAATTGGGATGAGCACCTAGGTGTCTCCTCTTCCAACTTTCAGCAAGTCCACCTAGAAGAGGTAGACTTTTTGTCTCTGAATCACCAAAATAGGCAGATCTAAGATGAATTATGACTCCACCACCACCTAGTTAACTCCATCATTTGATGTCCTGTGCTTGCTCACTCATAAATGCAATAGGGCTCTCCCGTCTGCAGAACTAATGTGAGAATTAAATGACAGTATATGTGAAGATGCTTTATAAACTGTAAACAGTATTTTTCCTACAACCACTTGACTAGGAGAACTACCCTCCACCTACCAAATCTAGCCAGTTTCTTTAAGCGAGCTTCGTAAGTTGCCAGGACAATAGGCTGAATGAGTTAGAGGGCAAATGATTTAGAGGGTGCTGTTTTTCTCTCTTCCCGCCGCCCCCTCTCCCCAATGCTCAGAGAGTTAATTACGATTACTTTGCAAAATGTTCTCCCCCCATTAATTCTGGTTCTTCATCCATCCAATTTTGTCCATTTACCCTAGTTACCTAGTGCCCCTTTGGACACGTCGCTAACTTGCTCAGAGGGGTCCAGACCCAAGAGTAGGTATCTGTGAATCACAGCTGCCGTCACAAAGGAGCAGACTGAATAGAAGTCTGGGCGAGGGACCCTCTTCACATGATTGGAAATAGGGGGAATTGGAATGGGCACCTGGGTCCCTGTGGGAAGATCTGGGGCTAGGGAGGACCTTGACCACCTTGATCACCTAGCAAAGTGAAAGCTAGAGGGAAAGAGTTCGACGTGACACGGGGGAAATGCTTCGAGTTCCCTAATTTCTTTGTTCCCTCCCTCCACCTATGGTGCTGCTTGCAAAACAACTAAAGGGGCCAGCACCTTGGCCCCAAGTCACAGTAGGGACCATATCCTTCATTATAAGCCTGTTCCTGTGGCCACTCGTGGACCCCAGCAATGCCTGCTTCTCATTAGATACAGCCAAGCACTGGTGGCTGCTGCTGCTAGCTCCCGTGCACCATGAGAACCCCTGGCACCTGGCCTGCAATGTGGCGGGACTGTGGCTGACTGGGCGTCGTATGGAACAGTCTGTGGGCACAGGCATGTTCCTAGTCCTGGTGTTCTCTGCTGCCCTGTTCGCTGGTTTCCTTCACCTTGCCCTGAACTTGGTCATGGAGTTGCTATTCCGAGAAAGTCATTACCGAGCTGGCTGTACGCTTGGCTTCTCCGGTACAGGAGGGACAGGAAAACCTCACTTCAAGCGAGAGAGACAATCCCTGGGGTGGTGGGGAAGGGTGGTATCATGGGCGGGTGGGGGGGAAATTATCTTCCATTGCTCAGGTCAATCAAGTTCTGGATAGAGCAGTCATTCCGGTCCTGCACACTAACCCAAACGACAGCATCCACAGAAATTGCTTCACCTTAGCTATACTATGTTTGTCGCAAGGGGGAATTTTATGTCAAACGTAGCCTCCTTCTGCTGTGGAGCCGGGAGTTTTCATGTTTTCTTTTGAAAAAGAGAGGGGGTGGAAAGAGAATCTGGGGCTCCCGGAGAGTAGTAAACCCATGGAATCCTCTTCCCTTCCACTCCCAAGGCGTCCTGTTTGCCATGCAGGTGATGTCCAGCTCCGAGAACACCCTTGTGGGGGACCTATTGCTGTGCCTGGCAGAATCTTTGGTGGCCAGCTACTTCGCCCCTAAGTGAGTGTGGCCCTTGGGCAGGGCTGGGGATTCAGAGGCTATGTATTCGAAAGGTGAATGCCCATAATCACAGCTGGAGCCACAGTGCAGATTTCCCGATCCCGGTTCCGTGGGCTTTTGAATACACCACGTCGTGTCTTAAGTTTCTGCACCATCTGCTGACCCGCCCCTTTACGAGGACTCCCGGCTCTTCAGGAGCCCAGTGACCTCAGTGACCAAACTGCTCTTAGGAAAAGGTCCATATTCGATTAACATCCACTGCTCTAACTAACGAAAAGATCCCGGGAGCCCATTCGGCTACCGCCCAAGACCCGGCGCAAGGCACAGGCACCGAGAAGCCGCTTCCAAGAGCCTCCTTTTCCTTCACAGGATCTCCTTCAGCGGACATTTGGCAGGGGTCCTCGTGGGCCTGGCCTACATCTGGGGGCCGCTGAGGGACGTCACCCGTCGGAAAATAAAAGCTACGCTAAATTCCCCCCGCCCAACTACAATCAACTAATACAGCTGAATACATGCCTTAACCTCAGCCTCCACAATTACTTCGGAGGGGGGATGGGGTGGTAGGACGGCTGGGTGCGGGGATGTGGGCAGGGGCGGGGCGGGGCAGCTCAGAAGGAGCTCGAGTCCCTACGGCGCCACTAGATCTACACGGCTCGAGGCACGTCAACCCGGGCGGGGCGAAAAGAGAGGGAGGAGATACTGGCGGCGAACGCCCATTGGTCAGAGCTTGGCCGACTTGTCCAAGGAAGTTCGGATTGGCCAGCGGCCGAAAACACCTCGGGCTGGATTCTGCCCTCCCAGATAGCGACTCCTGGCAACTGGCAGGAGCGCTGCCCGCGAATGCCCTGTCTCGGTTTCCGTTCAATTCTCCCCCCACTAGGCAAACTCCTAGCAACCCGTCTCATAGCCCCCTAGCCTTGTTTTCACTCCGGTCGTTTTTTGAGGGTGAAACGCTAGGAGGGTAGGACTCCGGGAGCCGCCTAGGTAGCAGTCCCCCGGCGCTCCCACAGGACTCAGAACCTTAGCGTCCACACCAGCTACGAGATCCTCAGGCAGCTCAGGGTCTCTAAGAAACTCACAGAGAAAGTAGATAGGGCCTTCCCGCCCCCCCCCCCCCGCAAGCGTGGAGTGGCGGCTAGGAGACGGCGGCGGACCCAGGCGAGAGCTGTCCTGGGGCTAGCCTGTCCACCAGTACTGCGGAAACAATGGGGAACTGGCTGTTCACTTACGACTCTACCTCACCTGGCACAGAGCATGCAAGTTTCATACAATACTCAGAATTCACCTCCACTTAACTCTCGCCCTCCCTCCCCAGCCGCCTCCAAGCCTAGGTCAATCCTTCGACCCCTGGGCCCGGAAGATGGAGTTGGGGGCATGAGGTACTAGGGCTGGTGAGCTACTGACTCGCGGCCCTGGCTTTATCATCCAGATGTGCAGACAGCTCTGCGGCCACCTGCGGAAGCAAACGTCGCAGGGGCTCCATGCAGACCCTCCACAGCTAGAGTGCTTCAATAGTGAGAAGAAAGTGAGCGATGGCTGCGCGTTCGGCGGGCGCATACAAGTGCGCCAGTGCGAGTCTGGGCCACCTTATCGTACTCTGCACACACTACAGCAGTCTGGCCGTGGTGGCTGCCAGTGAAGCCGAGCAGCTGACCAGGTACAGCGCCCGCCAGCACAGGTGAGGTCAGATCTGGGAGGGAATAAAAGAGGTCCAGGGGGCCCCGGACGATATCCACCAGGGGGAGAAGTATGGACCTATGAAGGTTGCAAGGAAATGGTTTTCCCTTTGTCGGTGGGTTCCTTTTATCTAGATCCCTCTTTCCCTCCCTCTGAGCACTCACTGAAGAAATAACCCCGCGGGTCTCTTTACAAGTGTTTTTCATGTTTTTCTGCTCTGACTCCCCATTACCTTCATTCCCTCCAGGTTAAAGAGCTCCAGAGTTCTAGACCCTGTTGCGTGCCACGAGGTGTGACCAGTGACCCTTCGGCCCAAGGGACTGGGGCTGTAGACTCATAGCCTGGGCTGAGATTGTTACCAGCTTATAAGAGGTCCAGGGCGCTCGGGCAGAGGGAAGCCAGAGAGATCTGGGAATCCGAAAGCCCTAGCCAAGTACCTCCTGCTGCCCCTGCTCAGCTCGCGGCGTTGTGGCCACACTGACCCCTTTTTCCTGGAGCAGATCGGCTCCCGCGGAGCCCGGAGAGCTGTGGCTGCAGGCACACGACAACGGGCCAAACTTGTAGCATCCATAAGACTGCTGGACGCTATAAATGGGCTTGGTGGGACCGGGCTAGAACACGGAGCGGCTCCTGCGGGGACCTTGTAATCATTGCACCGGGCTGCCCCGAAGCCTCCAACAGCTCTAGTTGCCTAAGTTCTCCAGGGCCATGATCATATACGGATGAGCCCTGAGTCCTAGGGTGTGTCTCAAAAGGAAGGTCACCCCGGGTGCAGGTTCCAGAAGAGGGTCACCGTTGGAGCAATGCCCTCAGGATAGAGATACCGCTGAAGCCAAGTGGTACAGGGGACCACTTGGAGCACTCGGGCAACCACGCGTCTGCGGGAGGCCAAGGGGTCCATGAAGATGGAGTTGCCCTCGAGGGGCACATCACTTCCTAATGCTGTATCCTGTGGTCAGGCACCGGAATTGCCTCAGAACTCTAGCTCCCTGCTCTACTCCTCAGAGTGCCAGCCAGCACCATATAATAGAGCTGCCTCCCCCTGGCACACCACTGGAGTGTAATGACAGCTGTGGTCACCAAGATGCCAGTAAAGCGACAAACCCCTGGGCTCTGGAGCCAGCAGGGGAATAGGTAGGCACTGAAGGTCCAGAATACATAGCCATAGAGGCTGGCTGGGAAGAGAGCTTCCACTACCAACCAGGAAGGTTGGCTTCAACTAGGTCGACCTGGATCTGGGGCAGGAAGAAGGGCAAGCAGCCAGGCTCAGCTTCATCCTCTGGTCCCCTGTGAGGGCATCCCCATAGCTAAGCACAGAAACAACTTTGTGAGGCCCAGGGAAGAGGGCGAGTGTGCAGGCCCTTGTCAACCCTTCATCCCTTTATAGCCAAAGTGATGAACGTGGCACAAGTCAACTGTCTTCTCCAGCTGTTGGGCTGGAAGAGGATTTAAATGGGTTCGGGGAGTTGGTTTGTGTAGAGCACTGACCCTCCTCCTTGTGGTGCCCAATACAACTGACCCAGGAACTAAAGAGGTTTACCTTTAACTCCTTTCCCCCAGGTAGTCATCCCTTCAGGCTGTCTAATACCATTCCCCAGGAAAGAAGTCACTGGGTTAATATTAATAGTTAATCCCTCAGTACCTGCACCCCACCTCTGCTTGCCTCACTTTCAGCTATCTTAAAGATAGGAAGACCCAGAAAATGTACATTAAGAATCCAGTAATTTCATCTTTGAAAGATGGCATCTAAAAAAAAAATCTGCCCACATCTATAGATATCTGAAGAGTCTTTTTTCTTTTTCTCTCTCTAGTCCTGACAATAAGAACACTGGGAACTCTCTTGTGGTAACTCTCCAGAGGTACTTCCTCATTCCCAACCCACTCCAAATTGCTATTTCAAATTCCTGCAAATGTCCTAGTGCAATCTCCTATCTCTTATCGATAGATCTAGTCCCTCCACTTAATTCCTAGCTGGAACTTCCATGAGCCAGGGAGGAATCTTAAAGAATCTTTCTCCCTTAACAGCTAGAGAGGCCTACACAGAGAGGCACCCTGTAACTCTGGGAGCAGCCCCATTTAATCTCTAATTTGAGAGGCCAGATTGCCTTTCCCTCTTATCTCTGTTCCAATGGGGGCCCCCCCAGTAAACATACAAGGCGTTCATCATTAGAGTCTGCCCAGGGCAGTGACCCCAGGCACATGACAGAACCTATCTTAGACTGCACTAATGGCCCTGGTTCCAGCCTGCCCTGCCGCCTGTACTCCACAGTGATTACCCCACATGCCAACCTTCCCCTAGACAGGGCTGGGGTGGGTGATGATGGCCACCAATAGAACACTGATGTGGGAAGAGGGGGGGAGAGACTGGATGATTTATCATCCCCAGACAATCATATTGGAATCACTTGTCTTCCTGGCCTATGTCACAAATAGTTTACCAGGGGTGGGGAACCTTCGGCCTCAAGGCCACATGTGGTCCCCACCCGTGGTTTAGACTGTAAACTGCTTGAGCAGGGATTCTTATTCTTTGTATTTGTATCCTCAGCACCAGCTAACATAATGCCTGGAATGATAATAAAATTTTTGACTGTGAGACAGTTGAGTACACATTACCCACTTTATTCAGCCCCACAGCAATACACTAAATACAGCAAAAGGGGGGGGGGAGAGAAAAAGAGAGAGCCCTGTTATTCTCTCCCAATACAATAACAGCAACAAGAGATGAAGGGGAAGAGGTAGCCTTCATCAGCTCTCAAGGAGTATTGCAGAGAGGGATAGGATGGGGATGAGATGACATAATCCACCTTTGCCTCATTGGGCTACGGAGTGGGTGGGACTAGGGAGGACTTTGGAGTGGGGGTAGACTCGGTGTCTCCTTGGCTCATCTCAAGTAGGCAGGTAACAGGTGTTATCTCTGGACCACACATCCAAGTTAAGATTCGGGCAGGGGTTGGCTGTGTCCAGACTGACATTATGGGGGGTGGGGCAAGAAGCTGCCTAGACCTCCTCAGAATCTGAAGAAACAACAATAATTGGGTTAGCAAGGAGGAATCCTTGAAAGCTAGAACGTCTTGAGCTCTCAGGAAGGGCCTCATTCAAATCCACTCCAGGGACTTGGGTGGAAGGGGAGGGCTTCTCACCTGTTGGGGTGGTTGGGACAGGCCAATCGGAATCTGAGTAATGGAAGGCAAGAGAGGGTCAGAGAAAAAAAAATCTTCTGAGCAGAGATCTGGGAAACCTAAACACAGTGATTAACATTCATATAGTGCTTAGGTTTCACAAAGCACTTCCCTCCCAGCTACACCTAGGAATAGGGAGTAATTATCCTTTCCTAACCTTGAATTCACCTTTGATCCCTCTTTTCACACACCCAAATCTAATCAGTAGGTAAATTCCACAGCTTCTAACTAAACCTCTCTCAGTTGGACCCTTTCTACCCAATCACACAGCCATAATCTTAATTCAGGACCTACACAACTCTCAGAGAGACAATTGTTTAATTGTTGAAAGCAGCCTCACCCCTCTACAAACATCTGTCTACCAAAGAATCCTAAAGCACAACTTGGACACTGTCTCTAGGACACACAAAAGCCTTCTGGGTTTCCTACTTGCCTCTAGGATAAGAGATGAATTCCTCTGCCTTAGACTTAAGGCCCTCCAAGTCTGGCCTACATCCTACCTTTCCTTCCAGCTTTAACTTCTATTATTCCCCTTTGCAGGCTCTTTTCTTGGCAAACTGAACAGCAGTTAGTTACCAGAACTGGATGTTATAGCTCTGACTTTATATATTTGTACAAGCTGTGCCCTATGCCTGAAATGCCCTTTTACCCTTACACTACCATCAAAATGTCAGCTCTATGGAGACTTCATAATTTTTCTTAGTAGTTAGCTAGCATTTATATAGTTTTAAGCAAAGCGCTTTATGAACATACAAAGCACACAACAAATTGCTACCAAACTGATATTCCTAAAACACAGCTCTGAAGAAACCTGCAGAAGAAACTTCAGTTGTTCCCCTAGGATAAAATACAAACTCCCACTTGGAATTTAAAGCCCTTCACAAAACAATCTACCTCCACCCTTTCTGGATTGACTACTCCCCTCTCTCACTTACTCTCTGTAGTTCAACTAAACCAGCCTACTTGCTGTCCTTCCATTCCTTTGTCCACTGTCCCAAATGCCTGGTATCCTCCTATTCCTTACCTCTGCCTGTTGAAATCCCTAGTTTCCTTTGGGGTCACCTCCTATAGAAAAAAACCTTCTCTGATCCCCAGCTGTAGTCGGTGCTTTCTCTGGATCCCAGAAATCACTCATAATAGCAGGTGCTGAATACTTGAGTTGAATTGAAGGGGGAAATAACATAAGGGAGTTCCCAAGAAGAGACTTTCAAGACGCTGAAAGAAGCCCAGGTTCCTCGATCCATCAACATCTGACCTGGATCTCCATTGGTTTTGTAACCTACCTAGGGAAGTTCAGTACCTTTATCACTCTGGGAGCTCTCCCTATTCCCCTCTACTTCAGGTGGAGCTAAGGATTGGGTGTCATGGTCCCGGGCATCAAACAAGGCACAGAAGGATGGATGCCAGATGGTTCTGAAGGAGATTGAGTTACCAGATCCAGAATTCCCTGTCTGGGGTTGGGAAAGGATTTTTACTTTTACCACAAATTTCAACATTGACCCTCTCCCTCCCACAATCACTCCACAAATTCCATCTCACCCTTTTGCCCCAGCCCACCCTTCCCACCCGGTCACCCTTTCACAGGCATCACCCTTTCATAGCCAGGCTCCCAGGGAGCTGGCTGGCTCCTCTCTTTGAGACTCTGGGTGACAACTGGGGCTAGGAAGAACGGAAACTGAAATCAGAATAGGCCAAAAACCAGAAAGGAAGAGGGCAAAGTAAGGAAGAAGTGGGGTTTCCACTGGAGGTCAAAATCCAAATGGCATGGGAAATATTGGCTTACTTACTCTGATCCCCCAGAAGCAGCTGACCAAAGTGAAGCATGGCATTTGGTGGCTGAATTTGGCCCCCATGGAGCTGAGGGGCTGGAGAGGACCCAGGCTGGGGGCTGAAAGTCAAGAGGAATACAAAGCTGCTCTCCTAGACCCTCCCTCTCATCTCCCATTTATTCCCCTAAGCCTGACCCCCACCGTCCTCAACTTTACCCCCAACACATACTTACCTGTGTGGTCGAGGGATCTCTGTGTCATCCAGACTCTTCTCCAGAGCCACAGTTCTCTTCTTGGTCACATGGGTCTTTATCCAGATCTTCCTCTCCTCCCCAGGAGGAAGGCAGTGGATCATGCTAGGTCGGGAGGAGCGCACAAGACTACCTCCTCTTCACCCTGTAGACACTCAGGAGGCCTGCTTCCTAATTTTTTTCCCCCCCAGCCTTCCTTCTTTCCTCCAGCTTTCTGGGTACTTGGTTCCCACCGTTTCCCTCAGACCAGAGACCCCGGTTCTGCTTCCTAAGCCAAACTTAACTGGAGTCTTGGGGCACCAATCCCTCTCCCTCCCTGGTTGGTCCCACCACATGGGTCTCCCAGACCCCGGCCAGGACTAGCTCAAAGACCCAACAAGTCTTACCTGGGAAAGGAAGAGGATGAGGGTGCCGGCCGGGTCCCGAGGTCCCTCCTTCCCCCCTCAAACCGAAAAGTGCTGAGGAGGCGCTAACCCCGCAAGGGACGGCCCCACCCCACCCCGGGACTCCAAAAAAGGTGAGAAGCCAAAGAGCCGCAAAGAGGGCCAGGGAAGAGCGACTGGCCAGAGGCCAGAACCAAGAAGTTAGCCCTTTTACCACCTGGGAACCCCCCGAGGGAATAGTCACATGTCACTGATGGGAGGTGGGGCAACCGCTGAGGTGGGTAAGAAAAAGAGAGGCGGGGCAGAGATGAGTACTGGAGAAACCCACCGAGAAGACGTAGAGACGAGAAGTTAAAGAGATGGGGTCGGAGGACAAGATGCACCAGAAGCCTCCGAATTTCCCTAAGCGCCCCCAGTCGTTTAAAAAAAAAAAAGTCTCAGGCATTCATTCACAGACAGCCTAACGGAAAATCAACCCAGGAGGCTCCTGGCTATTCTTTATTGGGGGAACCTGACACAGCTTGAGGTGTCCAGGGGGATTTAGTCCAGATACGTTCTTGCTCCATCCCAGACCTCTTTCCTTAGAATCCAGTTCAGCCATTTCTTCAGCTGGCCATGGGGAGTTCTATGGTGGGAGCCACAGCATTTCAGTAGGAATTACTGCTCCCTACACCAGGCACAGCCTGGAAACAGTACCTGAGTGGCATGGTGCCAGGGCTGAGGTCTTCCCACCCACATAAGAGTCCAGGGGCAGGAAACGGGACTGAAGCAATGTCCCTCTGCCCCATCCCACGTCCCAATGATTTATGGGCAGCAGTAATCTAAAGATATCCATATTTGCTGATGCAGGGAGGTTCTTGGATGTCTTGTCCCATTCCCCCTTCCCCTCCCCTAAGGATGCAAATGGGACCCTGCCTGCTCCAGCAAGGCATGGACAGCAGTGACGATGCTGGGGAGGCCCTTTTCAAGGGTCCCCTCCTCTTCTAAGATGTGGTGGGGCTGGCACAGGGACTCCTGGGGGGGAGGGGGAAATGAGGAAGGATTCTAGGTTAGTCTTCATGAACTAACTTCTCTAGCCCACCCATTCCGAGAGAGACAAGTAAGAGACCAAAGCCTGGCCTGGGGGCCCACTCTTCACTCAGCCTTGACAGTCCACTTCCTCCCAAGTCACTAAATAAAGAACACAGGTTGAATGGAGGGGAGACAGAAAGGGACCCTCAAAGTAAAAACTAGGTCTCAGACCTGGCTACTTCCACTCTCCCTTTCTGTTCTTTTACCCAACACTGTCACCTGTATCCAGCCCTGCATACAGACACTGCACATAGACTGGAAAGATGGGAGAGAAAAAGCCTTGTAGGGACGAGACAGGTCAGTGCTTAACACAAAGTGCTCATCAACTGTTAATTACATTATTGGGATAGAACTCTATGCTAATAGGTTCTGAAGGAGGGAAGATCTGAAGCAGATTTGGAGGAAGGCACTTCAAAGTGTAACTGTTAGATGGCCATGGAGTGGGGCAATGCTTTTGGCTCAGGAGACTTCCTATTTATTGGCCAGAAAAGGGAAGCAAATGGAAGATGGCAGCAGAGTGACACTGAGCAGATACAAAATACACACAACAAACACAGAGACAATGGTCATGGTCTATACAGTTTATAAACAAAGAGGGAGATGGGCAAGGGCCCCACCATCCCCTAAAAATATAGTGATCTCTCTACAAAATAAAGATAATTTAATCGGGGGTTAGGAGCAGGGGTAGAAGAGGGACCAGTATATGAGTGCAGGGGGCCAAAGCCTCTCTGAAGAATCAAGGGCCAGAGGTGGATGACCCACAGTAAAGATCTATCAGGATGAGGTCCGGGCCCCAGTGAGGACCCGGAGGGGGATGGGGCAGTGTAGGGCTTCTGAAGTCATTGTATACATTTACGGGAAAGGGAAGCAGTACAGTTTTGTGAGGGCAGAAGGCATCATTGGTCAGACAGAATAGGAAGGGGGTAGCTGAGCTAAGTCCCCACAGTGAAAAATTTTTTTTGGGGGGGGCGAGTAGTCGGGGAAGGAATTGTCATAAATAGGCACATAAGGTTTGGGGACGTTCAGACTCCAGGGTCCTAGGAGCCCAGGAGCCCAGCATAGGTGACATAGAGCAGGAACATGAGGACTACGTAGAACAAAACGAAGCCACCCAGGCTGGGAGAGAGCCCAAGGGGCAGGGGGCCCTCCCCACCACCACACTTCACAGCCTCCATCGTGGTACGTAGCCCCTGTGTGGTGCCCTGGAGGAGGTCGGAGGGTAGGCACAGGTCAGCCTGAGGTAGGTCAGAAGGGCAGGAAAGCAGAACAGACAGACAGACACGTCAGCAGCAGCAAAACCTTCCCCTCCCAAATCTCCCTCACATGCTGATGACATCATATTGGCAGGAACCCACAAGCTAAGCTTTCTCCCATACAGACATGCTTTCTTCTGGTGAGGCCTAGGACCCGTTCCATTTCCTTCATGCAACACACCCAGCTGTCCTCCCTCATGCACCCCTCTCCCACCTCCACAGCGTGCACCTCACCCCATAGGCTCCCACAGCATCCTGTTCCATACCTGAGGGACTCCCATCTTTCGACAGGCCTCTAGGAAACTCTCCACATTCTTTCGAGCCTTGAGAGCACTAAGTTTTGGCTGAGATGGGGGTGAGGAAGTTGGAGGTGAAACAAAAGGTAAACAGAGACCCTCCCTGTTTCCTTCACCCTCTCCACCCCCATATATACTAACCACAGCAGGTGAGGGAACATGGATGAAGGGCACAGAGCGTGGGCGGAGGTGGTTGGCTAACTGACACAGGACAACGCCATTAGCCAGAGCATCACCCAAATCCTCAGGAAGGGGTTGTTGTAGGCGAGATTCAAGGACCTGAGGAAACATAAGGGTTAGCTCACTGGCTCTCTTTCTATCCACCTCATGAGACAAGGAACAGGTTTCTTGGGTTCCATGAAGTGGGTGTTAGAAGAGACCCAATACCTGCAAATGAGATTGGAGCAGAATTCTTGGGTCCCTGAAGAGAATCCAAACCTACTTGGGGTTTTGAGGCAGAGGCAGAGGCAAGACCTACCTGTCGGAGTTGAGCCATTAACTCCTCCCTGTCCATTGCCTGGGGGGACCGTCGAGGCCTCAGAATAGGCTCCGATGAAAATGGGCCTGGGGAGGAAATTAAAGAGAAAAGGTTGCTTTTCCTTCTTCATACCACACTCTCCTCTCCCTCACATTTTCCCTGAACACTCCGACTGAAATCTTTTTTATCAGCTTCTGTGAAAAATGAAACTGGGGTCTAGGGAAATATGATCTACATGTCTAGGATGATATCCCAGATTGCAGAAATTTGTAGGGGAAATGACTGACATAGGGACATAGGAAGATGCCCAACAGGCCTACAACTCACCTGAGCTGCTCTGAGAAGACGAACGGAATAGGAAACTGTTTGGTCTTTGGATGGAGCCAAGTGGCTGAGGAGAAGGGCTTGTGGCTAGGGGGATATAGGGATAAAAGGAATGTTAATGAGAATGTTAAAGTAGTACTCCATCCCACCACTGTCCATAGTTCTCCTGAAGATCCCATCACCAGCTAAGAGATGCCCCTTCCCCCTCACCCTTAGGGGCCCTATCTCACCTGGACAGGCTGTATGGTGAGGGTCAGGGTTGGGCTCAGGGGCTCCAGGCTGGGGGCCACTTCGCTTGGAGGGATTGCTAAAGGGAGAGAGTTAATTGGGAGAGGATATGTTGGGAAGGGATGAAGGGTGAGCTGAGAATAGAGATGAGGAAGAAAAGACTTACTTGTAGGAGGCTGTGCTGGTAGGGCTTCCCCCACTACCTTTGTTTGCCAGTTTCAGGAAACTAGAAAGAAACCAAAACCAAAGAAAATGGAAGATACACATTGGAAGAATATTCACATAGAGTGTGGAATGGGATAAGGTGGGAAAGCTCAAGAACAGATCAAAGCCTTCCCAGCCTATGGCAGGTGGGGTAGATACAGAGGGGCAGCTTCTTCTAGCTCCACCTACCACCACCACCCCCATCCAAATGTGGCCAATCACCAAATCCTATCTATCTCATGCAATGTCTCCGACTCTGCACCACTCTCACCCTTGTCCATTTCTCATACCTCTCCTTTTTGGGGGCTCCCCACATGCCTCCCTGTTGCTGTTGTCTCCTTTCTCGATCCTGCCACAGTTGTAGAGTGTCTGGCCGACGACGTTCTTCCCCAGCTGGCTCCTCTGACCTGCAAGGTCACAGGGAAGTCAAGAAAGGGGTACCCACCCATGGGGTCCAAAGAGAGAGAGAGGACAAAGGAGGAAAGAAAGGTGTGAGGAGTGATTGCACTGGGGTGACACAGGGGCAATGGGCTGATGATGGGACTGGGGCAATGATACCTGGCATTAGGAGGCCTTTCTACTTCCATCTCTGGGGTCTTTTGCCCTGCCAGCTGCTGCTCCTGGGAAAAGAGGTTGCACATTAGTTGTGTTGACAGATTTTCCATGTCCATTCCCCACTGTTATGTTACATTTTCCTCAATGGCCCACCCAGCCCTCCCATCTCCCCTGGCATTACTAAAGCTGGGGCCCCCTCACCTCAATAGGACCTTTCTCCTCCTCCTCCCCAGGTACACTGCTGTCTATGAAGTCAATTTGTTCAGGGTCCCCATCACCTGAGAAGGCCAAGGGAGAGGATCAAGGGAATATCTAACTCTCCAACCCCACCTTCCCCATTCCAGAATCTCTCTCTTCATTCTCTGCCACTCCTCCTCCACTCACCTGTTCGATCTTCCCTCTGCTTCCTAGGCCCCCGAGGTTCTTGGGTCAATTCTGAGATACGGAAAGATAGTTCCGAAAATTCATCTGTCAGCTATAAAGAGGGAGAATGAGGGCCTCTGAGACCAACCCCCAACATCACAATTGGATAGTATGTGATGAGAGGTCCCATAAAAACCAAAGGCCCTTAACGCCTAGTCCCTGTGTCCTATCTATCTCTTTTTCTGGTCTAGGAAGATAGTAGAGGCAGTGGATCTCTCTGTCTGGGAAGAAAATACTTCTTTCCAAGGGGTCGGGCAAGGAATGTCCCACTTGGGGAGGCCCTTACCTCATTTCCAGACCACCTCTTACTTCCACTGTCAACACTGTGAAAACCAGAGTCCAGCCCACCATCATACCGACGTCCAGGGAACAAATCTTCCACAGGGCTAGGAGTTGGGGGAAGCCATGGTCGAATGTCAATTGGATAGTTCTAACACTTCCTCCCCCCATCCTCAAATTCTCCATTTATCTGAGAAAGAGCCCAATCCAAAACTATGATGAATACAAAGCTAGGACACCGGGCTCTCATTCACCACGTAGCTCCTCTATAACTTGTGACCCACCAGGGGCTGAAGCTTGACGAGTGAGAGGGTGGCAGGTCCCCAAATCCAGAGACTCCCCGCTCTCCAGCCTCTGATGAAAGGTACTTGAAGATGTGAAGCTTTCCCTTCAGGCAGATCTGGGGGTCAGGAGAAAGAGAGGGAGAATGCAAAAAGAGTGATGAGAGGCAGTCTTCAGGGTCTGCCTCTTCCCAACTTTGGAAAACAGCTAGGCTGTATTCTGCCCACCTGCCCTTCTAGGTCCAGGGTACCTCACCTGTGCAGGAGGGCTCTGAAGGGGATTGCTATCCAGCAGAATGACCTGGAGGTGCCTGAGGCGGCGGAAAGAGCTTGGGATTCGAGAAACATGGTTACAGGAGAAGTCCAAACGGACAAGAGGAAGGTCTCCCAGCTCTGGAGAGCAAATAACAACTTGCGGTTGGATCTTGGAATGGAAGGTCAGCTCCAACCTAACTATCCAACCCTATTTCCCACTGCTTTCCCCACCCCACACACCTTCCATTCCTGCCAGGTTATTCTCCTGTCTACTGGTCCACACCATGCTCATTCCTGCCTCTGTGTCTTCCATCATGTTACCCTCACTTGGAAGGCTCTCCTCTATCCAAATCCTACCAACCGTCAAGGCTCAGCTCAAGTTTCACCTCTTCCGTGAAGCCTTCCCTGGCTCTTCCAGCCCACATTGGTCTCCCCTTTCTCTGAACTCCTAGTATACTTATAATTAGAACCACACAATTTAGCATTTCATTTACACACTGTCTTGTACTTTTCTCTGTCTCGTGTCTGTTAGTCTGGCTTCTGTGACAGTAGGGACCACACATGCCTGTTTGTTAAGTGACTAAATGGGTTGATTTAAGAGGGGGATGGGTGGTGGGGGGAGGAGGCTTCCTGAAGATCACTGAGGATTCTACTAACCCATCCAGGCCCTGACCTCCCTCACCATCAGGCAGAGTGCTGAGCTGGTTCCTCCGAACATTAAGGTCCCTTAAGGAGTGGAGGTTACCCAACTGCAGGGGAAGGGACTGGAGTTCATTGCTGCTTACGTCCTGAAATTAGGGAGGAAGTTGGGGCTTGAGACCAGGGTCAGGCCGTGAATCCCTGGGCCAGCCCCTCTAATCCCATCCATTTCATTTTTTGGCACCATCACCTATTCCCCCGCCTTCAACCCAGCTCCCAGCAATCGCTTCTCTTCAATCGTCCCTCCAAAGAACCCAAGGACCTCCCCATTTCCCTGGCTGTCCCATTCTCACAAGCTGTCTTAGGCTTCCCAAGGCCCCAATGTCAGGAGGCAGGGCTCCCAGCTTGTTGTTGCTGACAATGAGCACACGAAGGGGCAGCTGGCATATATAAGGAGGCAGCGACAATAGTTGATTCCGGCTGTAGTAGGGGGAAAAAAAGTAGGCTCACAGTTCAGACACAGATGGCCCAGGGAATGCCTCCCTGCTTAGCAGGTTCTCCCATACATGAGGTTCAGAGTGGGGCAAGATATTCCCACTCCCCTTCGATTCTAAAGCTGAGACCTCCCCAAATAACCACTGTACCTTAGGTTGAGGTAAGTAAGGGCCGTGAGGTTCCCCAGCGCTGGGTTCAGACACCGAAGACAGTTGTGATAGAGGCTCAGCCCCTCTAGGGACACCAGCTGGCATGCTGCCTCTGGCACCTCAGGGAACCGGTTCCTGGACAGGTCTAGAGGGGATCAGGTAGAGTAGGGGATAGCTATGGGAAAGTGCAGTCCTCTATATAACAGGGTTCCTGACTTACCCGGAGGTGGCACAGGCATCCCCATCTCCTACTATAAAAAAAGGGGTGACTTCTTAAGGTTAACATGACTTAGGCCCCATGAAGGAGAAGGCAAGAGGATAAAAGAGGATCAAGGGGAAACACAGAAAATGTTGAGGTTATAGGCAGGAGGAGCAAGGAAAGAGCCTGAGAAAGGAAACAGGGGCTTCCCATCTCCCTATATAACATTCCTCTTTCCCCACCCTCACCTCATCCTTAGCCTATCTCAGTGCAACCTAAGATTCCCTGTGTCCTGGCTCCAACTGATCAAGCAGAAAGACACCTCCTTCTCCAAGCAGTGATGAGCTAGAGGTGAGGATCTCAACAGTTTAAAAAAATTTCTCTCAACCAATTCCCTCCAGACTGGCCCCAGATGGCTGCTTGCCCAGGGAAGCTATCATGGCTGCTTCTCAACAATCCCCATTCCCCAATCAGGCCCTCCCCCTCCAGCCAGATTGCATAACCAGTTTCACTTCCTCTCCACCTGACCCTGCTGTGTGAAGCTCAGCCTTCACTGAAACAATTTCTCTTCTCCCCCAACTCTCAAGTGGGATGGGGGGGTAGGAGTAAAGTGAAGACCCAGAAGTACTGGAGTCTACCTAACTCAAGTAGCTAGCTAATTCACCTAGGCCAAACTGAACCCCTCTCTGCCCCTCCACTCTAGGAAATCCTAGAAACCCAGAACTCCTGTTGTTTCTACTGGTCACCCTGTAGGGGTAGGTATTCCAGGATCTGGAGTGGAAGGCTTGGACAACTATCTGGATTAAACCTCACCACCGTTCTCCAGTGCTGGAGGAATAACTCTCTTGAGGAAGGGGGCCACCGAGGAAAACTTTCCCCAAAGAAACTGGTCTCACGACAAAGTGAAATGGAAAACAATCTATCCACCAGCCCCCTGAATTTTTTGCAGGGCAAGCAGAAGGGTAAAGCCTCAGAAGGTTCTGCTTTATATTTCCCCAACCTATAGATAAGCTATATGTCATCTGAGAAAACATTTCTGGACATATCTAGGACTCCCATCCTCATTCACCGCCACATGGGGAAAGGGTAGGAGGTAGGAACAGGCTGGCATGCGATTTTGGAAAAAGTCCTCAAAGTAGGAAGGGGAAAGGAGCCCAGGGTTGGGGAAGGGGAGGGGGGGAGGGGGAAGAGGAGGACAAGTCAGAGACAGGATGTGGTCAACAGCAGGGCTGCGAGCACTTCTCTTTTGATATATATTCCCCAAACCCCACCTCAGGTTCATCCCTGTGTTAGGCCCCAGGGAATAGAGTCCACTGGAATGAGAAGATAAAGGGTATTTCTCCTGTATGGAGAGGGAGGTATTGAGATAGATGGCTTTAGGGAAGAAGATCATTTCTTCGGGTTCAGAAAGAGCCGAGAGAAGGAAGAAAAATGACATTCTAGCATTCAAGTCAGAAGTCTAGGACAAAGAAAAGGAGAGAGAACTCTGTTTTATCAGGGTGTGGGGAGGAGGAAACACTAAAGAGGAATCTCTAGAGAAAGTTTATTTTTCTTCTCTGTGATGATGGAGATTGTAACAGGCAGAAAAAATAAAGTTGAAGGGGGAAGGGGCAGAGGTACTGGGCTTCCCAGTGGGGTGCAGGGTAGCCTCTATTTCCTCTTTAACCCTGGAGGAAAATCATAGAACCTGGCTGTAAAGCAGAAACTGGGGGAGTTTCAGGGAACAGAGTTTAAAGAAGGTAGTAAATGAGGCAGGATAGCATGGTAGGAAGAGTACTGAGTTTGGAGCAACAAAATCCCTTAATTTCTCCAGGCTTCTACAAAATTAGGGAGACTAGATAACTTAAAAAGTCCCTTCCCACTCTAAATCTATGATCCTATGATATGACGCTATCCACCTTTAAGGAGCCCTGTGCTCCAGACACTTCCCTTTCCCACACCGGCCTAACCAAGAGTATGAAGGAACCCTGGACAGAAAAGAAGCAGTCTAGTCCATACAGATCTACCAGAAGGAACAGAGGTGATGGTGTGTTAAAGGATAAGAAGGAAGGGTACAAGGAGAGCTGAGATTTTCCCACCGTCTTTATCTGCCACATAACTGTGGACAGACACTCCAAAGTCCCAGATAAAAGACTAGAAGGAAAGTGAGAACTGTTTGAGTATGGGAAGAGGGTAATGACTGGTAAAAAGAAAAAGAAGAGGAGTGGGAGTGGATTCTAAGTGGTTCTTCTTTCTCTCCCCTCCCCCTCCCACCTCACCACGCCCCCACCTCCTGTGCCTCCTTCAAAAAAAACACCAAGATCCATGGGTGACATTTGGTCTTCTGCAAGGCAAAAAATGGAAAGAGCACTGGGTCTCCAGTCAGGAAAACCTAAGTTCAAATCCTGCCTCAGACACTTTCTAGCTACGTGACTCTGGGCAAATCCCTTCACCTCTAATTGTCTGACGAAAGCGTCCACTGGAGAAGGACGTGACAAAGGACTCCAGTATCTTTGCCAAGAAAATCCCATGGACAGATATGGTCCAATAGGATCATGAAGAGTTGCAAACAAACAATAAAGCCTATTATATATATATAGGCTGAGGAGATACACAGAGAATGAGATATGTCTTTGAGGTAGGAGTTGGTGGGGGTGAGGTAGGGAAAGGAGATGGAAAGACCTATATAGACAAGCCTAAGCTAACCTAAGCAGAGGGGCCTACTAGCCACGCAATACCTAAAGGGAACTGAAGAAAAAAAGAGACATACTGGTTCTTTCTAATTCAGAAATGGGAAGGGGGCAGGCACAAGCACTTACTTCAGGGAGGAAAAGGTTCCTTGAGTGTGGTGGTAGGAAGACTTCTGAGTATAGGATTCCCCAGATTAAAACCAAAATAGGAGAGAGATGGCTTGGCATTTCACACCATAGGCTGGGCCAGGGTCGGGACTCCAGGAATGCAGTTTTCTAACAGCTGCCAGCTCTAGGTCCCAGCATGCCTTAAGAAGCAGCTGAGTCTGAGCTCCCCAGACAATTTCCCCAACTAACATCAGCTCAGCAGACACCATGATTAGAAGGCACTATTGTCTATTCCTCAAGCGTTAAGTGTAAGCGAGAAGGTAATTCATACAAATTATTGTAGTGGAAAGTATACCGAATTAGAAGTTAAGAAACCTGGGTTCTAACCCCAGTTAGTAATTACTACAGGAAGGTGGTAAACCTGTGTGACCGTGGGCAAGTCACTTTCCTTCTGTTTCTTTACTTGTAAAATAACTAGGATGGATAACAGGATCTCTTTCTAAAGTTCCTCCCGGTTCTGAAATACTGGAATCTTAACTAAGAAGAATGGGTGTCAGGAAAGAAATAGGGAGTATGAGTCTTTTCCCCTTTCACTTCTGCAAGATCTGATTTCTCCATCTAACTGCAGTCTTAACGATCTTCCTACCTTCTAGGAAAGGAAGCAGAAACTGAGGTGTGAACTCTATGGTCCCTATGAGGTCACAGGCTCCTCTCAGTGACCTCACGGATGGAGGGCAACAGAAGCCTCAAAAAAGAAACCAGGGATACGATAGGGCAGTTAAGCCTAGGTAAAGAGGCTTCAATTCACAAGGCTCTTCCCCTAGGCTCACTGATTGCTAGGGTTGGTGGGAAGGAGGAGGTGTGCTGAGATTCCAGTAAGAAAACGAGAACCACCTGGTGCCAGAGTGGGTAGCCCTTGGAGAAGACGTGGGTTCAGGTGAGACTTGAGACGAAGGAGGAAAGGAGGAGAAAAGCAGTCAAAAGTCATCAGGGTCAGAACTTCGAAATGAGGAGGCCTGCTCAGTTTCCTCATCTGTACCATGAGGAGGTTGGGGTAGATGGTAGTTACGATTTCTTCCGGCTCTAGGTGAGGGGGCCAGCTTCGGTGCAACGCAGTGGACGCCAAGTTATGCAAATGAAGAGGCGCGGTCAGAAAAGTTCCAACTAGAACTTAGCCAGTTGGGGCATAGCTTTGGAAACGATCAGCGAATGCAAAGGCCGACCGGCCAGGTACGGAAGGAAGGTGGTAGTTTACGCAGAGGGAGCTCAGATTCGGGCCGGGCAGGCCGGAGGGGCGTGGCTATGCAAAAGAGAAGGCGCGGTCGGAAGCTCTCAAGGGAAAAACACGCGCAGGAGGCGTGGTTATGCAAATAAAGACCCTCGAGTCCCAGGCCCGGCGCGAGGGCGCACTTACCAGCTTGGGTGATGTCCGACAGGTCGTAGCCACTGGCCGTGCCCCTAGGAAACTGCTTCAGACGCCGGTTCGACAGGTTCAGCGTCCCAGTGGCCACGGCCTCCTCTAGAGCCCGCTCGGCGCTACGGCTACCCGGCAACCCCGTAGATCCCGGAACCCGGGCTGCTGCCGCGGTCTCCTCGCCCCCGACGGCGGGTGGGGCTACCACTGCAGCCGCCATCCGCACCCGGCAATTCCCACAGCTGTCTGACTGACGGGAGCGGCCTTACCCTCCCCCCCTCCGTCCTCGGAGCCGCCGTAGTCTCTCCGGGAGGAGAGAGAGGGGTCAGAAACCTCGCGGAGCAATCGCCGTCGCGGGACGGGTGCGGCAAGCCAATCAGAACTGGCTACGGGAAGATGACTCTGCCCTTCGAGTGAGGGGCGAGAGAAGGGGAGGAGGGATGGAATGGAGTGTTCGCCAACGGCCGCGGCTCGAGGCTGTCACACCCCTTGATGCTGTATCCAATCATAACGCACGAAGCTGAACACAGAGCTAATCAGGTCCAGGGAGAAGGCGAGGACTCCAGCGCTTGGGTAAAAGGCAACGTCAAACGACGCGAACGCAGTAGGCCGTGCCCTCTCCTCCCATCAACCAATCACAGGCTAGCAACGGGCGAGTGGCTTCCAAGTAGACCAATAAAAAGACCCTCAGGAAGGAAACTAGAGGCGTGAGTTGAGGGCGAGGCCTCTGCTCAGAGGAACGTTTTGGCCTGCCAATAGTAATAGAAGGGGGCGGTGCCAGGGTTAAGCAGGGTGGAGATTGAGGTTCCGCTAACCTGGGAGAGGACGGGTGTAAGGGAAGCTCTGGGTAGTAACGCTAGGGGGCAAGATGAGCGAGCGAGAGAAAGTTGGGAGTGCGCGGGCAGGGTGGCTGGCTGAGTACGGGCAGAAAGCGAGGAGGAGCCGGGGGACGAAGGGGGCGGGAGCTGGTGAGAAGTGCTGGAGACTGGCGGCACATAAAGAGGCACGAGTGTGGCAGGGCGAGCGTGCAAAGGTGGGATGGACTTCTCAGGCAGTGAGCTAAGGGAGTAAGGGAGGTGAGCGTGCCAGTGTAAGGTCGCAGAGGTGGCGTACGTGTGTGTGCCAGGGAAGTGCCAGAGATCTGAAGCACCCCAGAGGACCGGGAGAGTGAAGGTCCGGTTGTGGAGAGAGGCACAGGGAGTGTGCACAGGCTGCTGCCCAGGGTGCTTGCAGAGGGGAGCTGCCACTGTCAATCTTTGCAAGGGAGAAGGGGCTGGGGAACTCTCTGCCCCCAAGCTTTTGTCCTTCGCAGCTCCGGAATACAATGACAAATCCCTATCCCTGCTGAAAAGGTTTTCCTTCTATTAAGAAGGAGAACTCCCAAAGAGACCCTGAGGCTGTCTGTCCCCAGAGGCTTCCGGGAGTGCTGGGAACAGCTGGGGAGGTAAACAGGTCTAGGGTTGGATAAAAGGGTTAGGAATAAAAAAAAATTATCTCCCATACTTTCGCCCCCTACCCCCAAAAGAAAATCAACTGCACTTTCAGGTATGAAGATGTTTTCGCTGGGGCATAACCCTGAATTGTTTTCTAGCTATAGTACTGGTGAGACTTGGTAACCTGACTGATTTCTCTTGAGACCAAGGGCTGCAAGCTAGCTGGGTCAGGGTTAGGCCTGTAGTCAGTAGGCATGGAATATTGAAGCCAACTAGCCAACACAGGTAGCAAATACTGAGCATTATTAGGGTGTTGCTATACAGGAAGAAAACCCTCCATCATATTCCCCCCCCAAAGACTCCATTTTCCAGAACCCAGTAAAAGCTGGCAAGAAAGGGAGATTAGCTACCCCAGGAATATATGATGTATAGTCCTAGTCATTACTGGAATACAAAGTTGGAGTATTGGAAGTTGTAGAATAGGAAGATCTCAGCTACTGCCCCTGAATAAATCCTGGGAGAAAGGAGAAGTGCCCCTTTATTGAAGAATCATGCTGTGAGTCCTCTGATGCCATAGGGTAAGAGATTGGCCAGAGACCCAGGGTCTTGCTAAGAGAGGAAGTGCTGGGCAAGGTTGGGCATATAGGTCACAGTGGCTGGATGGTGAGGTCACAGAGAAGTTTGTTGGCCTGGTGCTCTATGTGGGGGAAGGGCCTCAAAGGGCCCCCAAGCCCAGGCAGAGGGCATGGTGTGGGAAGGGCAGCACGGGTGGGGCCCAGGAGCTGAGTGAACGGGGCAGGGGGGGGGCCCAGGTGGCCAAGGAAGGGAAGGAGCAGGGGGGGGAGGGGGGTCAGGATGGTGAGGAGGAGCCGAAGAAGGAGGCTGCAGAGATTCACAAGGCTCTGCGGTCGGGAGGAGGGGCTCAGGGTGAGGGGGACAGGGGCAAGGGCATGGGATAAGAGTAGTGTTAGGGTAGTGGGGGAATAACTGTATGTCCTGCACAGAAACAAGCCTGAAAGACAGATAAACGTAATGGGAGGGGATGGAGCTATGAAACTAGAGAGAGGAGAGAGATAAAAGGAAGGAGATAGGCAAGAGGCACAGAAAGAGAAGATGGGAGAAAAACAGTGGCCACATGATTCTAAATGATCTCACCATTTTTCTTCTTCTTGGGTAGGTAAAGCGGAGCTGCCCCCCATGTGGACCAGAGCCTGGAAGTGGTGGGAAGAAGGGCAGAGGGAACCCTGTGTCTGTTCAGCTGTTCCCCCCTGAGTTGGTAAGTTGGGGGACTTTCTGGAAGCCTGAGACTTCAGGGGGTCAGTGTTGAGGGTTGGGGTATGTCTGAGCTGATTGATATCGTTCTTCACCTGAATCTTCTAGGTGGAACACATTATCTCATTCCTCCCAGTTCGGGACATTGTTGCTCTGGGTCAGACTTGCCGCTACTTCCGGGAAGTATGTGATGGTGAGGGAGTGTGGAGGAGAATCTGTCGCAGGCTCAGCCCCCGACTCCGAGAACAGGGTGCTGGTGCTCGGCCCTGGAAAAGAGCTGCTATCTTAAACTGTATGCCTCAATAACAGGATTCCCCAGCCTCAACCAACCCCTCCCCACGACTGGGCCTGAGCTCTTTCTCTTATTCCATACATTTTATGACTTCCAAAACCTTGGGAGATTCCCTGGAAGAGATTTACTAAACTTCAGCTGTATGCCCTCCCCATTCTATCCCACCCCTCACCCTAGAAATGCCATTAGATTCCTAGAATCCTAGAGATAGTCCTTTAATAGCTCCCCCCAAAACAACCCCTAGCCTAAAGATTCTTGGATACTCCACTAACCCCTACTTCTGTATACCCAGTCCAATAATATCTCTCCTGCTTTTTTCTTCTCCTCTCCTCCCAACAAAAAACAAAAACAAAATAAAACAAAACAGCCTTTAGTCCAGACATCTAGCATTTTCCCAGAGAAACCTAAAGATCCCTAGTCCTAAATTCCTGACAAATAGAATTTCCCAAATTTTCTCCAAGATTTCCCCCAAAGCTCTCTAAAGATTCCTTGGCAACTCCTAGCTTTGCTTCCCTAACCCTCTTGTCTCTGAGGAAATCTGGGGAGGGACCTGGGTTCTAGATTTCTAACTCTAGGCTCAGTATGAGAGAGGATTATTGGACAGGCCTTTCTCTGTCTCTTTGTTTTGTTTGTATGCTTGTCTCTCTCCCAGGATTTTCCTGATATCTCTGACACAGGACTAGACTTTGTAGCTAAGCACGTCTTTAGGGGTGGGGAGATTTGGCATGGGGTTAAGGGAAAGAAAGGAGTGCCTAGGCCTGTGACCTAAGAGTTATAAAATGTGGGTATGGATTTTTTAATGATTCCCAACCCTATAAATGGGAGGGTTAGGGAGCTAAGAACCATGGAGTTGCAGAATCCAGTTTGTCCCAAAATTAACCACTGCCCCCTGCCATATATAATTTCCCCTCCCCCAGACACCAAAGGCCTATACTTCCAGGCGTTTGGGGGCCGCCGCCGCTGCCTCAGTAAGAGCGTGGCCCCCCTGCTTGCCCATGGATACCGACGCTTCCTGCCAACCAAGGACCATGTCTTCATTCTTGATTATGCTGGGACTCTCTTCTTCCTCAAGAATGCACTGGTGTCTTCCACTCTTGGCCAGATCCAATGGAAGAGGGCATGCCGATATGTTGTACTGTGCCGAGGAGCCAAGGATGTGAGACTGAGACCCTACAGACCTCCTGCAGACTCCTCATTCTTGGACCCAAGTGTCCAGGACCATAGCCCCCTTACCGCCACTATGGGTGTCCCCTTAGACCCAGACATCTGGGAATTTAGCTCCAGCCCACTGCCTTCCAGCCCTAGAATGCTGGGACTAGTAATTTCCACCAGTTCTGAGACTGAAGTATCCTAATTGCCCCTACCTTGTTGCCAAGTGGCCCCTGGAACCCAGGTATCCCTATTTTCCTTGCAGTTTGCCTCAGATCCACGGAGTGACACTGTCTATCGTAAATACCTGTATGTGTTGGCCACACGGGAGCAGCCAGGAGGGGTGGGGGGGCCTGGTGGAAGAGCCTGCGACTGTGTGGAGGTTTATCTGCAGTCCAGCGGACAGCGTGTCTTCAAGATGACATTTCACCACTCCATGCACTTCAAGCAGATTGTGCTGGTTGGTCAGGAGACTCAGCGGGCTCTGTTACTGCTTACTGGTATGGCCTGCCATTATCTCCCAAATCTAAAGCTGTAGGATGTCAGAGTCAGAGGAGGCCTTAGGAGATTGTCTAGTCTATCTTCCCCTTCATTTTACAAGAAGATGAGAAAACTGAGGGGAAGTGATTTGCTCAGGGTCATACAGCCTGAATTAGAAGTCCAGATAGTTGCTCTGAGGTCCTTTCAGAGGCCTCCCCTTCCCCTAATTCCATTAAATAAACATCTATTAAGCCCCAACTTGTCACAATCAGTACTAGCTGTTGTGGAAGACCAGCACAGGTAAGTAAATATCTTAGAAATGTAAAAAACCTCCATATCAATTGTTGGCCTTCTCTAAAGTAGAATTAAGAGGGGAGAGAGGGAGATAACTCAGAACTCAAAATGTAACACCCCCCCAACCCCCAGAAAAAAAAATATGAAAACCCAAAGTGCTTATATGCTTGTAATAAAGCGCTTAGATGCATCAGCTCCTTAGGTAAAAAGATTATCTCACGTACATTTTTATCTCCTGGGCCTAGCAGAGTGCTTGGCACATATATAGTAAGTGCTAAATGTTTGCTAATGGAGTGATGACTCTTGTTGGATCCCTTAATATCACCTCCAGACCCCAATTCTGCTTCAAATTCCTGAACACATGGATCTTGACAATTTAGCTTCCCTTTTATTCTCCCTGATCCCAGCTTTCCAACTCAACTGAGTTTGAGAAGACTATCAGATTGGGGGGTAGGGGAAATCTTTGATGAACTTGATTAAGTCACTTCTCCCTAGTGTGATGAATCTTCCATCTCAAAGGAAAGGAAGATTATTCCCTGGTTTTGAGGGTCAGTTTGAATGGTGAGGGGAGTGGCGGTCTCGTTTTCCCTTCAAATCCTTAACAACCTCTTCCTGCCCCATCCCCTACATTCTCTAGAAGAAGGAAAGATTTACTCCCTGGTGGTGAATGAAACACAGCTAGACCAGCCACGGTCATACACAGTGCAGCTGGCACTGAGGAAAGTGTCCCGTTGTCTGCCTCATCTCCGAGTGGCCCGCATGGCCTCCAATCAAAGCAGCACACTCTACATTACGGGTACATCTCCCAGGGCCCCACTCCCAAACCCTCCTCGTTTGCCTTTCCCATGACCTATGTACAATTCTTAATAAGCTCATTATTATTATGAGTATTATTAATGTGTTTACTGAGCATTCCAGTATCTGGGATCACTACAGACTTTAGAGTTCTGGTTCCCACTCACTCAAAGACCCTAGCTGTCCCTAATCTCTGATCCTGTCCTCCATTCCCTCCTCCCTTGTTCCATTTCTCCAACAGTGTTATCTAGGGATAGCCTTCATCCAGGGGTGGGAGACTCCTTGGGACATATAGATATTTTAGGAGCTTCAGTGCTGAGGACCCCCACCCCCCCCAGACCAGGGGGGAGTGTATTTTGAGGTACACACTCCTGGAGTATATCGTGATCTCTTTGGGACCCTTCATGCCTTTGATCCTCTGGACCAACAGATGCCACTTGCTCTCTCACTACCTGCTAAGGTAGGAGATCCTCTAAAAGGGTTTAGGGAGGGGGAAGACCTAGGAAGCAGAGACTGTGGGGCCGAGAAGGGAAGAGATTTGGACAAAGATGTGGGGGGGGACTCATCAGGGAGATGTTGGCTTGAAAAGAAATGGAGAAAGAAAAAGGTTTTAGGGATCTGGTCTTGGGAGTTTGATATTCAAAGGAGCAGAACACCCTGCCCTTACTACTGCCCCTTCTACTTTGCCCTCCTCCCCCCAGATACTATTCTGTGCTCTTGGCTACAATCATCTTGGTCTGGTAGATGAATTTGGACGAATCTTCATGCAGGGAAACAACCGATATGGGCAGCTAGGGACGGGAGACAAGATGGACCGTGGGGAACCCACTCAGGTGAGACCCATGACCAAAATTTTGGGGACCTGACCCAGGTGTCCTGATACACATCCTCTTGCTCTCATATTGCCTCTTCTCCTGAGACCTAGGCTTTCTGCCTCTCCTATTCAGATGCCCCCAGAATTGAGTCCCTAGTCCCTAGTCAAGTCAAGAAATGTTGATTCAGTGTATGTAAAGGAATGATAGCTTGTTACTTCATGTGCATAGCAGCATCAGTCAGTCTATAAACAGATATTTACTGAAAACCCTGTGTTTGGCAATGTGTGGAAAAGAATAGGAAAAGTCTTTGTCTTTAAAGAGCTTATGATCTAACTGGGAGAGATTAGGACAAACACTTGAAACAACTAGAAAACAGTATACGATAATATTCAATTCAACAAACATTCAGTGCTTAATATATGTGTGTCTATCAGCTTTGTGCTGAGCTCTGAGGGAGACAAATCAGTCAGGCAGGTTCCCTGCCCACATGGGGTTTACAGTCAAGAAAGAAGATGAAATATACAATAAGACATGACACCTTTACGGAGTGGTTTGTAAGGTCATTGGTTCACAGATCTAGAACTTGAATGGTTCCCAGAGGCCTTTTAACTACCCTCTGCATTCTATAGTTGAGGAAACTATGTCCCAGAGAGGTAAGTGACTTCGCTAAGGTCACACAAGTAGCTTAAAAGCAGCAGAGGTGGGATTTGACCCAAGGTTCTGACTCACAAACTCATTTCACTGCCCATTGGAAATAAGATTGGATCAGCAAGGAATGGGCCAAATTTTGAAGGGCCAAGAACAAAGTTGAAGTGGCATAAAGTGACCATCAGAGATTTTTAAGTAGGGCCATGACATGATGAAAATAGTGGTTCATAATAATATGTTCCTGTAGCACTCTTTGGTTTTCAAAATGCTTTTCTCACTGCCCTGTGAGTTAGAAGCAAATATTATCCCCTTTTGACAAGTAAGGAAACTCAAGCTTAAAGAAATTATGACTTGTTCCAGGATTATAAGACTGGGATGTGAACCCCCATGTCTCCTGATTCTTAAGCACTCTTTCCATTTTACTACACTGTCTCTTATGAAGGAATAGTCTGTGATTGATGTGTTGGTTGGTTTTGATGAACTGCTTTTTTTTTTCTCTTTTTAATTCACAAGGGAGATGGCTCACTGGGGAGGGGAGGGATATATCTGGAAATGAAGGTGATGGAAAAGCAAACTATATCAATAAAAAACTTTAAATAATACCAAAAAAGAAAGACTGTCTGGCAGATGTGTGAAAGATGGGGAAGAAGCGTCAGGGAAACTATTCATTCAATACATTCAAATGTATGATTTTTAGGGTCCTTACAACTTTACAGTCTTAATGTTAAGTATTTCATATCTACTCCTTTGGGCTTTGTGGGGGATACAAGATGACTTAAGATACAGTCCCTGCCCTTAAGAAGTTAATATTCTAGCAGGTGAGATAAAACACAGATAAACAATTATAACATAGGATGTAATAGGTTAAGTGACTTGCCCAGGGTCACACAGCTAGTAACTGTCAAGTATTTGGTATGAGGTCACATTTGAACTCAAGTCCTCCTGACTTCAGGGCCGGTACTCTATCCACTGCATCACCTAGCTGCCCCCTAATAAAAAGTTTTAAACCCTGACTCTGTTGCTTACTCCTGTGTGACCTTGGGCAAGTTGATTAACCTCTTTGGACTTCGGTTTCCTCTGTACGGTGATGAGTTGGTTGGACTAGATGACCTCCAAGATCTCTTCTAGTTCTGAACCTGTGATCCTATGAAAAGTCATAATGTAGATGTCAATTAAGTGCTAAAGGAATTCAAAGGACTGAAAGGTTATTTCTGTCATTGTAGGAGGGCAGAGGTACTTGGGAAGTCAAGTCAACAACACATATTAAGTACCTACTATGTGCCTAGGCACTGTGCTAAGTGCTGGGGATACAAAGAAAGTTCCCCCATCCTGAAAAAGTTAGTTCCTTGTAACTAATGATAATAACAGCATTTTAAAGTTTTCAAAGCACTTTACAGATATTTTATCCTCACAACAATCCTGGGATGTTGGTGCTATTATTTCCCCATTTTACATGTGAGGAAACTGTGATTTGCCCAGGGTCACACTGCAATGTGTCTAGGGTAAATTTGAACTCAAAGGTAACATTCCAAGCTGGGCCTAGAAGGCTGTGAAAATAATCCAGCCACGAGGTGATAAGAACCTGGACTAAGGTTGGAGGCATTAGGAATATAAGTGAAATATTGAGAGACATTTAAAACAAATGTCTTGGGAATTGATTATATAACAAAAGAGATGGATGTATGGATGAATAAGGTTTTCAGAATGGCAGTACCTGCCACAGAGGCAGGGAATCTAAGAACTGGAAGAAACTATCAAATCCAATCACTACCTGAACAAAATCCTCCAGCCTTTGCTGGAAGACCTCCAGTGAGAAATGGAAATTACTACCTCCTGAGACAGCCCATTCCATTTTTAGACAGCTCTAAGTGATAGGAAGTTATTCCTTACATCAAGTCTTAAATTTTCCTGCTCCCAATTCTGACCTCATACCAAGCAGAGAAATCTCATCCTTCTATATTGTAACACTTTCCTTCTTTGGGTTAAATGTCCTCAGTTCTTTCAAATGATGCTCGTATGGCATAATCTTGATGGCCTTACAGGCCATGCCGATGGCCCGTCTTTGAGTGCTAGTCCCCGTATCAGTGTCCTTCCTGACAGCATCCAGAAGTAGACACAATATTCTAAATATGCACTTACCACGGCAGAGTACAACAGAAGTATCACCTCCCTAATCTTGGATAATATGCCTCTCAATGCAGACTAGGATACAATGAACTTTTGGGGCTCTCACATTATACTGTTCACACATATTGAGCTTGTATTACTATAAAACTATGAGATCTTTTTCAGGTAAGCTCCATTGTATAGCCATACTTCCCCCAACTTTCACTTAAGACATTGAATTTTAAACTTAAGTGTAAATAAGATGCCATTAAATGTCATCTTATTAGATCATAGGATCTTAGATTTGGAGCTAAAAAAGCACTTAGGAGACCATTGAATCCAACCCCTCAGAAACTGAGGAGCTAGGAAGTTAAGTGATTTGCCCCAGGGTCACAAAACTCATCAGTCAATAAATATTTATTAAGCACCTGATATGTGTCAGGCACTCAGAGGCAAGATTTACCAATAATAGGTAACATTTATATAGTGTATGTGCCAGGTACTGTGCTAATAAGTGGCTTACAGTTATTGCTTAATCTTCACAACAACCCTGGGAGGTAGGTGCTATCTCTATTTTACAAGGTGAGGAAACTGAGGCAAATAGGTTAAGTGACATGTCCAGGGTCATATAGCTAGTGAGTAATGTTAGATATGAAGTTAGGTCACTCAGGTCTTCCAGACTCAAAGCCTGGTGCTCTACCCATTGTGCCACCTGCATGCCCTCATCCATAAAACTAAGTTGAACAAGGCTTCCTGTCTTCAAATCCAACGTGCTGTCCCTATTGCTTCTAGGGCCTGTGACAAGGTCTTTCACAATTCTGATTCGGTCATTTGTTCTCTCTCCCTCCCAGCTCTGGGTATTCTGCTAAGTTTGAGAAGCATGACATTTAGGTCTTTATTCAAACCACTGATGAAAATGTTAAATAGCAGAGTTGCTAGCTACCTCTGTCCCATCACATGCAATTTTGATGTGTGTTTTTGGTTTATATCTCTTCGTGTGTGTACATGTTTTCACCACAGTAGAATGTAAGGGTCGTTGAGGTTAGGAATTCTTTTGTTTTTGTCTTTCACCCAACAAGCATTAATTTTTTTTTCTAAATTTGTATGATATCTTGTTTTTATATCACCTTCATTTATGAATATATCTCTCCTCCCTCCCCTACCCATCAAGCTATTCCTTGTAACAAAGAATAAAGAGGGAAAAAAGCAGTTCAACAAAACTAGCCAGCATATCTGACAGCATATGCAGTATTCCACAGCCACAATCCCTCACCTCTGCAAAGAAGGTAGGGAGGTGCTTTTTCTAATCTCTGGGGCCAAACTTGGTTGTAATTATATATTGTTCAGTTCCATTTTCTTCTTTCCATTTACATTGCTGTAGTGATGTATATTATTTTCCTGGTTCTATTCACTTCACTATATCAGTGCATATAAATCTTCCGTGCTTATCTGAATTCTTCATATTCATCATTTCTTATGGTACACTAATATTCCATTACATTCATTTGATTTAAGTCAAGTCAAAAAGTATTTATTAAATGCTTACCATGTACCAGGCACTATGTAAAAACACTGGATTAGGCATTCTTTAATCAGTGGGTATCTGTATCAAGTATTTATTAAGTACCAGATATGGTTACAAAAACAAAAAATGAAGCAATATATACCCTTTAGAGTTTCCATACTATTAGGGAAATAACATGTACATAGAAAATTAAATACAAAGCAACTTCTGAAAAGAAGGCTAGAACTGGAGGGGGGGTGGGAGGGGTCAGAATAAGACTCCTCTAAGATGAGGCACCTGAACTGAGCTTTAAAGGAAACTAGGGATTCTAAGAAGGACAGTCAGAAGGGAGGGCATTACTGATATGAGAGATAGGTATGGGAAACATCCATTTTGGCTGGAAGGTAGAATTTATGCAAGGGGAATAATGTGCAATAGACTTGGAAAGGGAGGTTGGAGCCAGATTATAATGGGCTTTAAATGCCAAAGAAGTTTATATTTGGTCCTAGAGTCATTTGGAAACCACTGGAGTAGGGGGGTGGCATAGTCAGATCTGTGCTTTAGGAGTATTGATTTGGCATTTGTGTGAAGGTTGGATTGGAAAGGGAAGAGATTTGAGGCAGGGAGACCAATTAGAAGTCTATTGTAATAATACAAACGAGAGGTAATAAGGGCTGGAACTAGAATGATAGCCTTATGAATGAAGAGAAAGAGGGTGGGTTTGAGATGTTACTGAGGTGGAATTGCTAAGACTTAACAACTGATTGCCTGTAAAGGATAAGAGAAAGAAAAGAAGTGAGGAGGACTCTGAGATTGAAAACCTGGGTAGGGTGACTAAGAATTTCAGCAGAGTTAGGAAAGTTAGGGTTTAGGGAGGCTGATAAGTTTTTTAGGGATGTTCAGTTTAAAATGTCTATGGGACATTCAATTAGAAATGTCTAATAGTTGATGATGCAAGACTAGAGCTCAGGAAAAATACTTGGGCTGGAAATATAGATCTGGGAGTCATCTATAAAGGGATGATAATTAAACCTATGGGAACTGACTAGATCTTTGTATCTCTGATGCCTAGCTAGCTGCCTACCGCATAATAATTGTTTAATAAATGCTTGTTCAATGAATGGATCTAGCACAAGGCCAAGCAGTCCTGTAGAGTCCTCCTTCCAAGCTGATATTTGAGTCTGACCATTCAACCAATATTTGACTGTACTGTAGTGTAACCTATAGACACTTTATAAAATGTGTTACTAAAATCTAGGTAAGGGGGCAGTTAAGGTGGTGCAGTGGATAGAGCACTAGCCTTGGAGTCAGGAAGACCTGAGTTCAAATTGGGCCTCAGACACTTACTAGCTAGCTGTGTGACCCTGGGCAAGTCACTTAAGTATCTCTATAGCATTCCTCTGATCTATCAGCTTAGTAACCCTGTCACAAAAGGGAATTAGGTTAGTTTGTAGGACCTGTTCTTGATGAAATTATGCTACCCTTTATGAGTGCTGCTTCTTTTTCTAGATATCCATTAACTGTATCTTTCAAATGAAAAATTCTAGAATTTTGCCAGAAGTCGAAGTCAAGCTCACAGACCTATGGTATGCAGATTTCAGTTTTCCCCTTTTTAAAAAATTAGGACATTAGCCTATCTTCAGTCCCTAATACTTCCTATTCTCCATTATTTTCCAAGATCACTAAGGGAACCAGCAGTCTTAACTACCATTTCTTTCAGCACCCAATGATGTAGTTCGTCTGAGCTTGGTCTTGAGCATTTAGTCCTGAACTCGTCAAAATCAGCTAAGTATTCTCCTACTAACTCTCCATTTTAGAGGGCTATCAACTCTGTATTTGTCATTTTATTTCTATCTTTTCAAGTCTAAAAGATCGTTCGCCTTGAGACATCGGGATAATTGAAAGTTCATGGCCTTCATCTCTTTTCCAAGCCCTTCATCTCTTTCCCCTTTCTTTCTCAGTGGTCAATAGTCTACTTCAGTGACAACATTGTCTCTTTTTCTGCCTCTATTGATCTTCACTCCCATGCTTTCTACCATGCTTCTTCTCTCTGGTTCCTGCATCTCCCCATACAAGTTTAACTTCTTAATATACATACAATGTTATTGGGTCCCAACCCCTGCCTTTTCACTTATCCTAAAGGTTTAGGATCATAGATTCAGAGTTAGAAGGGATTGTAGAGGCCATCTTATCTGGCCTCCACATCTACACAGAGAGATTAAGTGATTTAATGTCTACTCCTCCAGTGTCATATTCCAGGATGAGTCATCCCACTAAGTCTCAACAATACCTATGAGTTCAAATTTTGCCTCCTTGTATTAGGAAGAAGAATTTTTGGGAAAGATAATAAGCTGCATTTTGGATATGTGAAAGTTAACAATGAAGGCTAACTGAAAATATTTTAGCAGGTAGCTAGAGATACTGCCTGCAGTTTGGGTGAAAGGACAGAGTTAGAAAACTAGATTAGGGTTTCATCCACATAGCCTTAAAATCATCTACATTTGTTTGGAGAGCACTTGATAGTTAGTTATAAAACACATTCACAAACGTTATCTCACTTAATTCTAATAGGAACCCAAAAAATTAGACAGTGAAAGTATCGTTAATCCATTTCTCCTGTTTTATAAATGAGAGAACTTAAGTTTGAGGAGGTTATAAGTAATTGGTCAGAGGTCTCTGTGCCAGTGAGCAGATGGTGAAGCTGAGACTCCTAGTCTACTTTCTTTTTCTTCTACCCCACATTGCTTTTCAGAGAAGTGATAAATGATGTAGTGAGAATATATATGAGAGAGAGAGAGAGAGAGAGAGAGAGAGAGAGAGAGAGAGGAGAGAGAGAGAGAGGGGAGGAGGAGGGAGGGGGGAGAGAGAGAGAGAAAGGGAGAAGGAGGGAGGGGAGAGAGAGAGAGAGAGAAAGAGGGAGGAAAGGGAAAGAGAGAAGAGAAAGAGCAGCCAAAAGCCAAAGTCTGAACTTTGAAACACATCCCACAAGAAGCTGAATGAAGAAGGAAAAATGAAATTAAGAAAAAGCAGTTGAAGGAGTAGAGAGACCCAGAATGGTGTATAGTAGCACAGAAGCTAAGGGAAGAAATAGTTTCCAGAAGAGGGTAGTCAACATCGTCATATGCAACTACGTTCCAGGAAAATAAGGATGGAAAAAAAATCATCAAAATGATTAATCAGGACAATACTCAATCTTCAGTGGACCCACTTTTGTATAATGGTGAGGACAGAGCCCAGACTGGGAGAGGTCAGGTGGTTGAAGAAATGAAGGTAGCAGGTATATTTTGTAAAAGTGTATTAGCATGAGAAGGAGAAAGGGGATGTACAAATTTACCAGGTCCCATCAAGCAAGACAGGTACATTCAGGAAAATAGCAAATTCTGTCTTGACAGATCCATGAATCATCAAACCAAATAGTGTTCTAACTGTTGGTAATTTTCTTTTTTCACTTAAAAAATATATTTTTATCAATGTCTTCTATTCCTTACATCATCATAGTGACACTTAATAAATGTTGTTTATTTGTTGTTTAAAAAAAATGTGTTAGCACTTGGATGGGAAGACCACCAGACTTAGACGAGGAGGAGCCAAAGAGATTCTCTCTCTGGTCTTAAATCCCTTATCTTCCAAGATGAGGAAACTTCCAGGGAGATAATGCCCTGGGAGGTAAAGTCACACATCACAGAAATAAAAAATCTTAGAGGCAGGATTCAAATATAAGTCTTCTGATTACAAATCCAGTTTTTCCTCACTTTACTTGACTGCCTCTAAGAGGCAGCAGGAGATAGTGAAAAGTTGTGTTAAGGCATATTAGAAAGCAGCAGGAAAGGAGCCAATGGAAAAGGGAGAGATGAAAGAGGGAGGGGTAAGACAATAATCCTATATGTCAGGGACTGAAAGGAATGGGGTCATGTACGTATGTGGTATGGTAAGCCTTGAGAACAGAAAGAACCCCTGTTCCTAAGAGACTGAGGATTAGGATGAGCAGATGAATGCAGGAACTGAGATGTACTGATAAAGGGATATGGAGAAAAGTTGTGGAAGTAGAAGACAAGGTTCCTTCACTTAAAATCTAGCTGGGGAGAAAAAATACACAAGATGAAAATGGAGAGTGATAGAAGGGTCTAGACCAGTCTGAGAATTCAGGATAAGGAAACAGAGTTAGTCAGGGAAAGCTTCACAAAGGAGGTGAGATTTGTGCTGAAAGTCTCTTCTTTCCCACCTCCCAGCCCCCAAGCCTCCCTGCCCCCCAACCCAAGAATCCTTGGTGTCTTTCCTCACCTCAGGGATCCTGACATCTTGTCCCCAGGTACATTACCTGCAGCGCCCCATTGCCCTCTGGTGTGGCCTGAACCATTCCCTCGTGTTGAGCCAGAGCTCGGATTTCAGCAAGGAGCTGTTGGGCTGTGGCTGTGGAGCTGGGGGCCGGCTCCCCGGCTGGCCCAAGGGGAGTGCCTCTTTCGTCAAGCTCCATGTGAAGGTCGGGATTATGATGGGGGAAGCAAAGGGGGTTATGAAGATCAGGGGTCAAGATAGATAAGAACCAGAAAGGAGGCTTTTTTGATCTCTGCCCTTCTACCCTCCCTGCCCCCCACTAAAGTGATATGTATGCACACATAACTCTTTTCTTTGGTCCCTTTCCTGTGGTGTACCACTTGTTATGGGGTGTGTACCCTACCCAATAATCCTTGGGGCCCTTCCCTGGCCCCTCCCTCACACACAGATTTCTCCTATCTAGTTGGCTCTGTAGGAGAATGAAGTAGACTCCCCAAAACCCAGGCCACACACACACACACACACACACACACAGAGTCATCTTCTCTAGCCTCAGACGCCTGCCGTGCTCTCTCCACTTAGGTCCCTCTTTGTGCCTGTTCTCTTTGCTCCACAAGAGAGTGCCTCTACATGCTCTCCAGCCATGACATTGAACGCCGCCCCACTTACCGTGATCTTCCAGCCAGCAAGGCCACAGGCACTTCAGAGTCCACTGTGGGAACTGGAACATCCCAGGATCCTGGGGGAACAGCCCGAGCCTGTGAGGAGTATCTGAGCCAGATTCACAGCTGCCTCACCCTACAGGACCGGATGGAGAAGATGAAGGAGATTGTGGGCTGGATGCCTCTGCTAGCTGCACAGAAGGATTTCTTCTGGGAAGCACTGAACATGCTGCAGAGGGCTGCGGGGGGAGGTGGCCCAGGACCCACACCCCCTGAAAGCTAACCCCCCTTACTCCCCCAAAAGGAAGGGGAGAGACTGGCCAGGGACCAGGACAGAGGAGAGCTGAAGCGTGTACTTTATATATGTGAGAGATTTGGGGATGGGGGAGGGAACAGGAGACACGCACTGGGACGGGACGGGGGTTGTTTTGTAAAATGTTCTGGGGACTTCCCAGGAGGGGCCCTCAACTTGGGCATCATGGACAAAAGAAATTTGACGGATGGATACAATAAAAAGAAGCTGCAGCGGAGCCCTGGATACTTGGGTCCTAGGAGGGGAGTAGGAATGATGGTTGCCTTGGATACCCATGGGAAATAAGGGCTCAAAGAGGAGAAAGCAGGGAACCTGAGAAAATGCTTGAAGCTTAGGAAGAAGAGCTAAGGGAAGGTAGGGGACCTGGTCAGTGGAGATGGCCAAAGGAAGTGGCTATTTTTTCTTCTCTCTTAACTCTCTCTTTGCCACAGCAAACCTCCCTGAGATCTAAATGGCAGGGAAAATGCCATTCCCTTGAGGTTCTAGCGCCACATCGCAAAACACTCATCTTCTGTTTCCCCCATTAGATGCTTTGTCTTCTTTTTGTCCCAGAGTCTTCTATCTGTTCACATTTCTTTTGATATCCACTTTCCCACACTCATTCTCCCTCAGGTTTTACCTCCATATGCTCAGGCTGTCCTTAACTTTTTCTCAATCTCAAACGTTAACGTGTCCTTTGCATGGTACCTTCCTCTAATCTTGTGCAATCCCCTATCTCCTATTATTTCTCCAATTTGTCTGGCAGTGGTGGAACTATTTGCCCACCCCTCCAAATTCTCCCCTGACTTGGACTGGAAGGCCAGATGCCTGGAACCAAAGAATAGAAGTGGGGGCAGAGAAAAGGGGAGCAGGAACCCTGAGGAAGCAGAATTAAGAGCTAGGTGGGAAGTGGGGGATGAGGTCAGATCCAGCTGTCAGTCTGGAGGCAGTCCTAAATAGCAACTGAATGCATGAGTCTCCAAAGAAGAATATGAACTTGTGGTAAAATTACAAGACATTTGGATCTTGGCCAACGGCTAGGGGTGCTTTCACTGCTTCCCTCCACCCTAATCACTTAGGTTAAGTCAATATTTGTGTGTACTGGGCCTAAGAGGCCCCCAGACTTGGCTCTGTTTTTTCACATCCCTGTCTTCCTCCCCTTCCCCCATTCCTCTCCCTAATTCGTCCAGTCCCCACGCCCACACACTCGAAGCCAACCCATCTGGCATTGATTATCCTGTTGCTGCTGGACTCAGCCGCTGCCTCTGTCTCAGGGACCCCAGCTCTTCTCCCCCTAGCCATGCTGCCTCCTATCCCACTCTGCGTCCTGGGGCCCCTTTTTACTTCCTTCGCCCTGCTCTCCCTCACCCAGGCCCAGGGAGCTCCTGCCCAGACCCCCAACTACACCAGGTAGGTCTATTTCCACCCCTAGTGTACCCTTCCCAATGTCCACAGAATCCAATAAAGGAACTTAGCTTTATGGATTTTATATTGCTGGAAGCCATTGATTTTTCCCCTCTCTTTTGCTCCTTGAGAACCCCCTCACTTTGACCTCATCCTCTTTTAGTATTACTCATCCTATGTCTTATTTCAGCTCTGCCGGCTCTTTTGTTTCTCAGCTGACTCCCACTTGAACCCACCCGGACCCTTTTCTCCAGTGTCTTGTACCTTTTTTTCTCTGCCTTTCATCTCCTTGTCCCAGATTGCTGTGACCTGAAAGGAGCAACCTCATTTTAGAGGTTGAACATCTGTGTTCAAGAGGGATGGGGGGAATGGGTGAGTTAGGTCAGGAAGTCTGATGCCCAAATCCTAGGCTTCAGCAGAAATTGAGGCAAGTGTGGGAGTTAAAGGGAGCTGATGTCTAGTTTCATTGAGATATATCATTGCTTCCTCTCCCTTCATATCCTGCCCCCTCCTTTTAGCAGCCTTGTGGCTGTGGCCACATCTGGTGCTAGTTAAGTCAGCTCCTGTCCCAGCTGCCTGGCAGTGTAAAGGGAAAAGATTCCAAGAATTCCGGCCTTCTAGCCCAGGGTAGGGGTGAAGGACCTTGGGGAATGGGATTTAAGAGGCTGTCGGGAAGAGTTAACTCAAAACTGTATCTCCTCCTTTGCTTCCTATCCCTGGATCTTCCTCCCTATCCCAGTTGGCTGTGATGCCATTTGCCTTACCCATTTGCCAAATGCTTTGCCCATTTCTAGTAACCCCTCTCTAGCCCCAATCTCACCTCCACTCCAGCAAATTTCCCACCCCTCCTGCATTTATTTCATCCCCATTTCTCTGTATACTATCCCACCAAAGTCTGACCCCTCTCCATTCTTATTTCTTATTTGTATCTCTTCTCTGCCTCCCCCTACCCATACTGATTACCCAACGCCTTCATTTATATGTCTGGCCAACTCCCTAGACCTGTGTTCCTGTGCGGAGGAGATGTGACTGGGGAATCAGGCTACGTGGCAAGTGAGGGCTTCCCCAATCACTATCCCCCCAACAAAGAGTGCATCTGGACAATCACGGTGAGCGTCCTCTCTGCCCCCTGTTCTGCCAATTTCAACCATTTCCCAACTCCTAGGACCAGGGCAGCTTATCTTGGGATCAATGCTCCCCTAAGACTCCAAGATCCTTCCCCCAATCAGGATCCAGCAAAAGGACCTTTTTATTGCTAACCCCCATCTCCTTTATGTCCATCAAACTAGATCTGGTTACTGCCAAGGGAAATGCTTTCTGATGATATATCCTATTAAGCCCCAAGCTCAGCACTCCTTAGTATATATAATAACCCATTTAGGATTCTAGAGTCCTTTACTTTTCTAACACTTCTGTAGGGGAAGCACAAACCTTGGCTCCTCCATGCCTTGTTGCTAAAGGATATTCCTGGGCAACAAGACCAAGGGAGTGAGACGAAGTTTCATCCCTGTCAAAAATAAGTCTTACTGGCCAAAGAAGGAATTCTAGGGGACCCTTCTCCATAACTTGGACCCAGGGAACCCCAAACTCCCTTGGCTTAACTGCTACAGAGGAAACCTTTTGATAGTTTTCCTAAACCACACCAGATCTCCATCTCCTAATCTGGCCCCAAATAGCTAAGGACAAAGCTCCCCAGCAGTGGGGAAGTTGGGATTATAGGTATGGAAAGAAGAAATGGAATCCTGAAGTGTACTCTTGGCCCCTCTGCCCTTCCTTTTTCTCCTCCAGGTCCCTGAGAGTCAGACTGTTTCCCTCTCCTTCCGAGTCTTTGACTTGGAATTGGATTCCTCCTGCCGCTATGATTCCCTGGAGATTTTTGCTGGGGCAGGGACATCAGGCCAGCGTCTTGGACATTTCTGTGGGACCTTCAGGCCAGGGCCTGTGGTTGCTCCTGGCAACCAGGTGACACTGAGGATGAGGGCTGATGAGGGGACAGGAGGACGGGGCTTCCTGCTGTGGTACAGTGGGCGGGCTACCAATGGCAATGGTGAGATCACCCCTCCCCCCACCTCTCTCTCAAGCACTGGCACACATACTGCCACCCTGTAACTTGTGTCCCACCAAAATCCAAAGACAAAGAGATCCCTCTCCATGAGACACAAACCCCTCTCCCAAGAGGCTCAGGCCTGTCCCTACTAGAGGCCCCACCATGCCTTACAGAAGGCCTTACCTCCAGGTTACTCTCCTTAATCCCCATCCTCCACCTTGCATCCTCCCCTCTCCTTTTGCCCTCACTAACTGTCCCTTCAGTCCCACCTTTCCATCTTTTCTACCCTTCCTTTCCCTCCCTCCCACCAAACCCCCTCTTCTAGGCACCCCCCCAGGTGCAAGGCGGAAATGGGGCGCAGACCCGCGGGTGGACTGGGCGGCGTGGGGTTACTGGGATGGTGAGTAATTTGCCTTCATGTCCCTTGCAGTTAGAACTCACCTGGCTGGGGGTGGGGGTGGGGAAACTGAGATGGGGGGGGGACGTATTTATTCCCCCTGTCCTAGATTACCCCCCCCAAATCCAGCCCTGGAATTCTGATTATAGTCCCATCATCCTGTCCCCATAGCAGAAGACACCCCTTAAAAAGTAAGGACCACTGTGATCAGAGGGAAGCATTAGAAGAGGCATGAATGGAGAGCACCCCAAAAGCCTTGGGTTGGGAAGCCCTCAAATTTGGGAAACTTCCAACTGAGAGGAAAAATATCAGGAAGAATTGTTAAATTGGGGAGGGGATAAGATCTCCCTTGGGAAAGGGAAAAATGTGGCTAAGGAATAATAGGGAGGGAGAGCAAGAGTTTGGGGAGTGGGCTGGGACCCTCCAGCTAATTCCTATCATTTTCCAAGGGTGGGGAAGTGGGGGAAGTTTGGGGGTGCCTTTATGCCCAAAGTCAGATTCCCACTCTTCTTTATTCTCTCTTTTTGCTAACTTTCCCCCTCTCCTTACCTCCCCCCAACCCTCCTCCACTCAGGGATCCATATATTTGAACTTCCTTTTCCCCTGCCCTTGAACACTAGTTATCCCTCTCCCTGCCCCCACCCCATTTCTCTTTCTCTATCCAGAGCATCAGTTCTGTGGGGGTCGGCTGGAGAAGCCCCAAGGTACCCTGACCACACCCAACTGGCCTGAGTCTGACTATCCTCCTGGGGTCAGCTGTTCCTGGCTCATCATTGCTCCCCCAGAACAGGTAACATTCCCGAGGCCCTTCACGGAACGTAAGCATCTGGCTTTTCTGCTGCACTTCCCCTTAAAAGCCAAGTATCTTGCTAGCCAGTTCCCTTCTCTTCTCCACTAGGTGATTTCTCTGACCTTTGGGAAATTTGACCTGGAGCCAGACACTTACTGCCGATACGACTCAGTCAGCATTTTCAATGGGGCTCAAAGTGATGATTCAAAAAGATTGGGGAAGTATTGTGGGGACACTGCCCCGAGGTGAGTGAGTAGGGCCTGTTAGAAGGGCAAGTTTTAGTGGCTGGGATGAAGTTATAAGGGAAAGTGTTGAATCAAATAGAAGGGACCATGACTTAAAAACAGAGGTTCCCACACTGAATGGGTTGGGGAGGTTAAAAAGGGGAAGTAGAGAGGTAAAAGAGCAGAATAGGTAGGAACAGCGGCTTTGGAGGAAAATCTGAAGGCACTATAGCTTAAGCCATTCTTTCCCCCGACACCCTACTATCCTCCCTTCCCTCAGTTCCATCACCTCAGAAGGAAATGAACTCCTGGTCCAGTTTGTCTCAGATCTCAGTGTGACTGCTGATGGATTCTCTGCCTCCTATAAAGCCCAGCCCCGAGGCAGTGGGAAGGAGGGGACTGTTCCAGCTCCTCCACAACCACAGCCAGGGCCTAAGGTCAAACCTCCTACCAAACCCCAGGCCCCAGATCAGGAGAACCCAAAACCTACCCTTGCCACAGACTCTGGTAAGCATGGCTGGTAAGCAGGGGCTGGGGGTAGGGAAGATTAGTAGAATAGGGATCTGGGGCCTGGATACTAGGACACGTAAGTACAACTTAGAACTTGGAGGGTTGGGGAAGATGAAGCTGGGTTGAGGGTGGGGTGAGGGAGGAGGAGGAATAGATACCTCATAAAGCTAATAGATTTCCTCCCTCACAGATGCTCCTAGTACTCCCTGCCCAAAACAATGTCGAAGAACGGGCACTCTACAAAGCAACTTCTGTACCAATGACTTTGGTAAGGAAGCCAAGAATCCTGCTCCCTCATATCTCCTATCAATAGACTGGGGGGAGCCTTCTCCTACTCCTTGCATCGGTCTATGAACAGGCTTTATTAAGCACTTACTATGTCTTCAGGCACTCTTCAATATCTTGTCCTTTCTCCTCTTTCTTTCTCCTTCCCTTGCCCCCCCACCCCTTCTCTCTCTCTCTCAAATCAATCTCCCATTACCATCTCAGCTTCCTAGCCTTTGCTCTATCCTATGACCTTCAGCTAATTTCGTCATCCTGCCCACCATATGGGACTCCTGGTGAGTCCTCCCTAAACTTATTTTCTGATCTTTCTTGTCTGTTTTCTCCACAGTGGTGACAGGAGCAGTGAAGTCAATGGTTCGGGGTCCTGGGGAAGGGATCACTGTTACCATCACCCTCACGGGTGTCTACAAGGCAGGGGCTCTTGTCCTGTCTTCCACTCCCGTTGGAACCCCGCTTAAGTTGTATGTACCCTG